TTAAAAAAAATGCGAAATTGGTTTCTTAGTTGGAATACCCGGTAACAGCCACTATAGAGAAAATTATGGTCACATTGTTAAATTTACGTTCATTTTGTATTAGAATTACTGCAATTAGATGAAATTAATAATAGAGAATTAAAGCAAATAAGTTTATCTATTTTAATAGATCACCGACGTTTAAGACTTAACTCAGTCCAGAGAGTCTCTGTACAATATCATTCGTTGATAAATTAACAAACAAAAGTTTTGAAAAAGGATCGAGTTGAGTCCGAAGCGTCGGCAAACTACTGAATAAACTTATTTGTTCAAATTATTAATCCATTTAATTATTTTCAAAGTTTACGAATAATGACGTATTTTTTATTATTAAAAAAAACTTTTATTTATAGTTTATTTATTAATAAGCATGTTTTTGAAAATTCATCAAGTGACATAACAATTTACTGCTTGCAGGAAAAGCGGAGATAAATTATTATTTTTTTTCATTGATAAAATCATCCTAAATCCTCAATAAATTTTTCTATTTGTGTAATGCGAGTATGCTCCTTGGTTATTTTAAGTGTTATTAATTTAAAAATGACGTACATTTGGATGTGGGTAAATACGAATATGCAATTTGTTATTCTATGTTCGTCAGGTTTTGTGTGAATTATTAGGAAACTAAAATTGAGGTCTCGTAAATTTCGATATTCTGTTTTGTGTCGAAATTCGATTTTATTCGAAATTAATTTAGAGTCGTCTCGTACGTGTCTGTTTCTTGAAAAAGACATCTCTCTTGTGCGAATATACATTGCATCTGTTGTCGAAAGCAAATTGTGGACTCATTCCACGTATCGCGTCCAAAACTGTACAGAATTTATTATCTTGGAAGTGCACGTCGCTGACATATTCCATCAAACTTAAAATAGTTTGTCTGCAAATCACATGCCATCCAGCAAATGGCGCAATAAGTCTCGCATTCAGCCAAAATAGGAAACAGAGCATTTTCATCTCGGTTTATACATGTTTAAGTTTCAATAGACGTCGTATATCACAATATTTACTTGTCATTCAGGAAATATTAACATATTAAATTCCAAGGACTACCAATATCTCATATTAAAAAAACCTCGCAGCGACCCAAAGAATTTAATAAATACGACCACAACTTGTGCGACATCTGGCCAAGCGCAAAAATCCAATTAGGTGTGCGGAAAGCACAGGTTTACTGCCGTTTTATTAAACCAAATTTGATCCCAAAGGCGGCGATTACGCGTGATTTTTCCAGCCTAAAACCTGTCATAACGATTCGATGCGATGACGGGATAATTTCCTCGAGTTTATCTCATCGTAAAAGAGACAAAGTGCGAAGTTATCTGCTGCGGTAAATCGAGCACGACGCACGCCTCAACTTTGGTTTTATCGAATGACAGACACACGATGGATCACATAGTAAGCATCTTACGATGCTATGTTGACAGATCAATCGCGATTTTAATTCCATCACGTTGAAAGTAAACGAGACATGAGCCGGCGACAAATATCAATTTGAACGTTATGAGAAGCCGTCTTTTTAAACAAGAAATATGGACTTGCCGCCGAAAGGTTGTGCACCGAGATACGACCTTGTTATAATCAATGAAAAGTCGAAAAAATTTATTGGAGGGTGAAAAAGTTTAGGTTTATGAGGAGCAAAAAGGTTTCTGCGATTTTCAGCTTAAATAACCGATTTGCAGCAGTTTTAACATGAATTCTGATTTGGATGTGATTTCAGTCTCTAGGTTTTGAAAAACTTATTGGACTTTACAACATTTACAATTCGATTTGATGATATGAGATTGAAACTGAGAACATAGCATGTAATGGTGTAAGGTGTTCTGTTGATTCATTTTATAATTTGATTTTGCCGCTTTGAAACCTTAACCTAGACATTGAATTGTAACTAAGCACGTAAAGGATAAAGTTGAACACAAATGGTAGTTTACTCAACAAGTTTATAAAAATCAAGTACATACTACTAACTGAATATGGTTCACAATTATGGGTTTGAATGTGATTTTGTCTTAATGATGCCAAAACCCATGTCAACGTGGGAAAAAGTATAGTTGTGTCACTTATTTTTCTTTTGTTTCCGCAAACCGAAAAATTTTGTCTAAATTATTTCACAAATAATATGTTTTGGTTAAAATTACAGCAGTATGAACAAATACATATTATATAACAAAGCATGATGTATGGATAGTACTAGATAATAATAGTTATTAATAATTCAAAAACATCAACAACACATCTATCAAACATGGCTTATAAAAATAACAATACACTTTTATGTGGTAATCCTGATAACGCACGAAAATAGGGAAATGAAAATACGAATGCTTTGTAAACGTTTTAATAAAGTATCAAAAATCAAGATAATTTGTAATTGATTCATCTTTGGATCCGAAAACGTATGTCTGTTTTTGAACTAAGTGCACGTAAAACGTCAAATAAAATGACAAAAAAAATGACAAATGACAATCGAAAGAAAAACGGCAAAACATTTTTTTGATCATACCATTTTACGTTTCGACTTGTCATTTTATTTAACGTTTCACAGACATACGTTTTCATATTCAAAGATGACCCAATTACAAATTATCTTGATCGCTCAATATTTGATAACTAAATCAAAGTACGAGTAGATACCTAAGTTTTCCTGCAATTGAAAAAGTTGCAAAAGCCCATGAAGATATAAAAATTATGTAAATTAAGAAGAAATCTGAAATTTGGAAACCACTTTAATTATAAAATTAATATTATCAATAGTTGATGATTTTTATTACGACTTCAGTAAATAGATAATACTTTTTTAATTTAGGATATAAAAAATGTGTTAAAAATTTGTACAACGATGATATTTTAGAAATTGATTGATGAAATTAATTACACTACTCAAAGTAATTAAAGAAACAAAAATATTTCCTAAATTTTTTGATGATTTTTGAAAGGCTGTATCTCATCGAAAAATAGTTGTATCTAGATTTTTTAAAACCAATCTAAGGCTTTAAGTTTCTAGTTTTGAGATCTTTTCACAAAATAATTTTTTGTGCAACAGTTATCACAAAAGCGGAGGACATAGCGCGAGAAAAAAAATTGTTATTTGACTTGGGGAATTTTTTTTTAGTTAAATCAATGGATGTGCCGGATAACCTGTTCATTCGGCATTCGACTTTAATATGCTTTTTTATATTTTCTTACGTCATTTGTTGCTGAGATATCTGACTTTTAATGAAAAAGGATCCTTTTGTTTTTGATCATCGATATCTCAGCAACCAATAACCACACAGAGAATGTAAGACTAGTTCCAAAAACTGGAATAAATGGCTTATAAGATCCTTTAATGATTTTTTCAAAAACAATTTTTTTTCACTCTAAAACATTGACTTGAAAGAAAGAGAAAAAAGTAAATTTTTGCATTGTTTTAGTAAATCTACCGCGTATTCACAAATATTGATGGGGAGATTAATGTCTTTGGGTGGTTTTACAGCTTATTGTACTTCCCATATCTCTGTAATTTTTTAAATTGATCCACCAAACCGTTTTCTCGGACCGATTGATCAAAGTTTTGCAAAAGAATTAAAAGAACAATTGCACATATTGTTTCTGAACATTGCTTAATCTTCAGCAAAATGAAAAAAACAATTTTTTTCGACTTCTTTTACAATTTTGCATTAGTTTGCATTAGTTATTTGCTATAAATAAAAAAAATTAAACAAAAATTGTTTCTTTATTTTTTTTTTGAAAATTTGTAAAAACATACAAGAAACAATACTGCTTAATTTTTGAAAAAAAAATGTTTTAGAATTTGTTTTTTCAAATTTAACTAATGCAAAATTGTAAGAAAAAGGTGAAAAAAATTATTTTTCTCATTTTGACGAAGATTAGACGATATTCGGAAAAAATATGTACAATTGTTCCTTGTTCCTGTAAAACTTTGAACAATTGGTCTGAGAATACGGTGTGATAGACTAATTTAAAAGTTTACAGGGCTATGCAGGGTACATTAAGCTGTAAAAACACCTTAAAACATTAATCTCCCCATCAATATTTGTGAATACGCGGTAGATTTACTAAAACAATGCAGAAAGTTACATTTTTCTCTTTCCTTCAAATCAATGTTTTGGAGTAAAAAAAAAGTTGTTTTTGAAAAAATCATTAAAGGACCTTGTAAGACATTTACTGCAGTTTTTGATACAACTCTTACATTCTCTGTGCGGTTATTGGTTGCTGAGATATCGATGATCAAAGACAAAAAGATCCTTTTTCATTAAAAATCAGATATTTCAGAGACAAAATGACGTAAAGAGAATATAAGAAAAGCATAATAAAACCGAATGAACAGGCTATCCGGCACATCTATTGATTTAACTAGAAAAAATTCCTCAAGTTCGTGGACCAAAAACAAAAACGAAAAAAAGTTACAATTTTGTTTTCTTGCGATATTTCCTGCGCTTGCGTGATAACTGTAGCTCAGAAAAAAATTTTGACAAAAAAAATCTCAAAACTTAAAGCCTTAGAATATTTAAAAAAAAATCTAGATGCGACTATTTTTCGATGAGATACAAGCCTTTCAAACACCAAAAAATTTAGGAAATATTTTTGTTCCTTTAATTGTTTTGAGTAGTATATAACACTTCTACTTTAACTCAGCTTGAGTCAATGGTGGTATTTTATTGTCTAAAATATCCTTGTCTCAATTGTAAGTGAAGCCTTAGAAATTCCAATCGGGCATAAAAAATCCGTTTCCAGTACCGTTTCGTGCGCCACTGCTTTGCATTCTCCTAATTCAAATTAACTCCATCTGTCAAAGACATGTTTATGCTCCGATACAGCGATTGTACTGCTAAGGACCTCGAAGTAACAATGCACAATGCATAACACATCGGAGCACAAACGAGGTCAAAACATTATAATTCGGTCGATGCAACATTAATACTCGAGCACTTTTCGTTTATTAAAACGATTTTGTTTTCCAGAATGAAGCTCTTCAAGTCGCCTTGGAGTCTCTCCTGCTGAAAGAAAATGAAACTAATCCCAGTAGGTACTCCTGTCTGTAAGTATAGCTGAATCGACTCTTTATTTTTTTTAAGCGATTCTGCGACACTGTGACCTCAATCCCGATTCATAAATAATTCAACGCGCCACCGACAGGCAATTAAATGAGATAATTACGGCGAGGAATTAGTGATCGCTGATTTTTCGTAAAAAATTCCAAGTGTGTTTTCTTTTGTTTCGAAATTTTGTGTGGTTTAAAAAGAAAGGTTGTAACGCCCACACAGCTTATCCTACCTAAAAGCTCTGAAAATATCGAATATGTAACTTTTACACGCTCTGATCCGACTTTCGAACAATTCAATTCTGAAACGTCCTGTCATCCCCACTAACAAGCTGTGTTTCGACGGATTTAAAGCCTGGGAGTCCCAGAAGACGACATAGAAGAATTGAATTGAAATTTTTCAGGTTGCGAGGCATTTCTTAAATATGCAAAACCGAGAAATGTATTGCTTATAAAAGAAGAAAGAAACAAAGTTGAACAAACGTGTGAATAAAACCAAAATTGTTGTTTGTATAGGTTACTAATATTTATTGTAAAGAGAACCAATTGTTATTCAAGCTGGAAATTGAATAAATCCCTCGCTCAAGAAACGTGATTAATTCTAAATTAAATTTGTTAATTAAGATTCAAAGCTGAATCATTTGTTCCACCGTTTCGGAATCAAAATGAAATTGCTTAAAATACACTCTAACCCCTAATCAAAATTCGTTTGACATTAACTTCCACCTTGCATTGGCACACGTCGAACTTTTTCTGGAATCCGGCAATTAATCGACTTCCCGGATTCCGTTCGATCTATGAATTTTTCAGCAATTCTCTCATAATTAAGATGCCAAACCGTCCGCAGTAATTTACTCAGTATTTTTTCACCCCTCAACCCTTAAAATTACCGCTTTTAGAATGCAACTATGTTGCTTTACAACCGCTCATAAATCCACTCCCATTTATGGCTTTTCAGCTCGGAAATGATGAAATTATGAAATTTCCAGCTTATTAGCCGACCCCTAATTGTGTTTATACGAGTGCAGTCGTTTCACATATTTTTCCGGGCCAAGGAAAATCATTCCCCTTTCACCTGATAATATAAATTTTAATTAAGTAAAATAGCAATTTTTTGACCACCGGTCTGGGATAATTATTTTTGCCAATCGGAGCGGTTTTGTTAAATGTTAGAAAATACGAGCCCTCGAGTGTTGTTCTTTATTATAATTCAGTTGAGCGTGAAAAATCGGCTCCTGGAAACTCGAAAACTCTAAGCTTTATTGCCGAGCTTATTCTCCGAAGGCAAAGAACTGCTCTTATTGCTTTCGTCATTGTTACACTTGGCAAATGATAAACATAATAAATTATAAACTGTGATTTATGACGCTTCAGCTTGTCGGATATTGTTGAAAACTTTACAAAAGGGTAAAGGAATTAACACTTAATTGGATTTGTTACGTAAAAAAAAAAACGGTTCAAATCTAATTTGTAAATTCTCCTTGGCAGGAATTAATTAATCAACAAAAGAATTAATTTAATAAGGGATCCGGTTTTAGGAAATTAATAACTCTTCCAATTAAGAGCAGATGTGAAACGTAAGCAATTAATTTATTTTTTGTCAAAGTTAATTGCGTTGTTTCGTATAAAAATTATTATAAGTCAACAAAAATATTGCCGAATTAACGTTTTCAATAATTTGTTGGTGTTAGCAGAGTAATTATGAGAGCTTTTGTGCAGAATACAGTTTAAACAAAAAAATCTACAAATCAATAGATATGGTAAAATAATTGAATAAAATGAAATGACTAATTTTCATATTCATGCCAAATTTCATTTTCATGACAAAATAATTTTGTTAATTTTACAATTGCATGTGACTGCAGTTTTAAAATGCTGTGCTTATTCAAGGTTCTATTCATACTTAAAATTTCAAATTTATTTTTTTAATATTACTTTGATTTAAAAAACTTCTAATATTGAGAAAACAAAATAACATTGTTTTGAATTTTGAAATACCTTTTATTGTTAAATTAAAACAAACTCAAATTATTTAGTTACAAATCAAATTTTGCTCTCCAAATAAATACAAACGTAGGTACATTTAACTGAAACAAATCACAAATATTCCAAAATTTTGTTCCGATTTATTTTTAACATGTAAAGCATGCAAATTACTCATCTGTCATAAACAGTAAACCGAAAAATTGGTGTCGTAATGTTGTTTATTCAAATTTAAAATTAAATTTTAACATTCCATATTTAAAAGTCTGTTATGCAAAAATGGTGGATGCGCCGGGTTGAATCAAATTCTATTCTTAAACAGTTTGTGAAGAAATTTGATAATAAATATTAATAAATATACTTTTAAACAAATAATACTTTATTTAAACACTGCTTGTCCAATTCTACTCTAATCTTCCCATCACGCTTCCAAAATTACCAGCGACACGTCAACCACTTATGGCCCGGTTTCTTATTTTGTCTCTCCCACTTTACATCGTTGTCCGTTCTTTTTGTTACAGAAACCGATTACCGAGCGACGTCAGCCATTGTAGCCATTATGCCTATTTGGAGGACTTATACGACATCATTTCCTCCGAGGACGGTAAGTTTTTTATCGAATCTATCACCGAGAAAAGCGGCTGAAAAGTTAAATGGAATGTCTTTGATGTCAAACTTTCACTAATTAAGTTTAAAAGTGAAGCAACACACGTCCTCAATTTCCAGGAATTGATGAGTTTGAATTTCTGGACAAGTTGGGCCAGGAATTGATCTCAACGTCTTGCACTGGTCGTCTAGAAAGAGCTTTCAAATGTCTAGGAAGCGACCTAAAAGAGTTCCTCATAACTTTGGACGGCGTCCACGATGTGCTCAAATACCAGGAGGAGGTGGAGCACGAAGGAGAAGCTTTCATATGTACGAGTGACGAAGACCATCTTCGGCTTGATTTCACTACGGAGAGGCCCGCCGTGGCTTACCTCCTAGTTGGCAGTCTTAAAGCCATAGCTAGAATTCTCTACAACACTCAAGCCTATGTAGAAGTCGCCCAAAACCAACACGACTCTCGCAATTTTAGGTAAATTCCCACATTATATAAGTTATTTTTTCACTTTTTTCTAGTTTTAAGATCAGACACATTGGAGGCGAGGTCTTAGAGACACCCATCTCGACCCCCAGTCCCGACGTTGACCTCCAGATGGGCGTGGTCACCTTCTGTAAGGCCTTTCCGTGGCACTTTGTCCTCGACCGAAAACTCGACCTGGTACAACTCGGTTCCGGCTTCATGCGACTTTTCGGCCGACTGTTGGCAAGCCTGGGTAAATCCGTGGCGACCTACTTCGAGTTCCATCGCCCCCGAAGCATCACCTTAAGCTTCGTCGAGATCATAAAGAGGGCGAATACGCCGTTCGTGCTAGCCATAAGGAACCTTCCGGGAGTTGAATCGTTTCCAGCGGAAGTAAGTCGCGACTTGATTTATTCGATGGATTTTTACGGCTATTTATTCGCTTTAAATCGGACAAAAAGGAAGGAATGATTTACGAGATGGAGAGTTAATAAAAATGGGAGTTAATGCTGGGGTGAATTGTGCCACTGTTGGCGTGTAAATTGCATTTTTACGCGGAAAAGTTGGAATCAACTTGGGGTAAACACGGAAAGAGTTGGGAAAAGTTTGACAGTTGGGCCAATACCGCTTAAGTAATAAGTAAATTTATTCCGTCGTGGCCGAGTAAACAAATAAAGTTTTGCTTTTATTTTTGATATACAGATATCCCAAAAGTAAACAACCTTTTAAATTAATTCGAAAATCGGTTTTGTGTCTCACTTTCATTTTCATTTGTGTCTCAGAATAATGAATTTACGTTCCTTTCATAAATTTGGACCTGAATCCAAAAAAAAAACAATCTCGTCTTGGAAGTATTCACACGTTTAAAATTTCAGTCATATTGCTTTTAAATCTTGCTCAATTAATAATATCTCAGAACAATAAAAATGGAGATTGGCCTTTTTCAAACTCAGATCCAGGAATAAAAGTTTGCAATTTTGACGCGTCATAATTCTTTACTATAATGAATTGTCTACTATTTTCTCCATTTATTTGTTTCATGAAATTCGTTACAGCTCTTGTTAAAATAAAAAAACAAATTCAGCGCTATAATAGGTTATTTGAAAGTTCCTCGGTGTTTTTGTCCCGAAAATTATTTTCGCATAAAACTTCATAAAAATCAATACAGGGATATAAGAGATGTTTTTTAACTCATTTCACGCCTCGTCTATATTTACTGAATTAATTTATCGTTTATTGTCCCGAAAAATCACTCTCTCGAGCCGGCACCCTTTGTTGCTTCCCCACCCATTCCGTCCTCTTCATACATCCATAAACATTTCCGCAAACTATACGGAAATATTTGTTATCAAATTTCCCTTTACAGCACGAAGATTCTACAAACACACTCGGCCCAAGTCTAGTCAAAGGGGTGCCTTTGACAGCAACCCCAATTAAAACATTAGACTTAATACAGCCCATGATATCCCTTTTTCCTCCCCAAAAATAATTCTACGTCGTAAGTGGTTGCTAGATTTATGCCCGCTGCGGACATATAAAGATAAATGCGGCCTCGTCTCTTACGTATCATGATTTATGCCGCAAATCCTCCCCTAATCTATTTTTAAATATCCAACCAAGACGTAAATGCATTTTTAAAGCGATGTACAAAGATTTGTTACACGTTTTGAAATTTTTATCATGAGACATTTTTAAAGTTCATAATTAGTTTCAGGAAGTTTCACTCATTTGCATTTAAATTAACCCTTAAACTTCTGCCACTCTGATTAAAAGCAAAAATCAAGACTCGCTACTGTCAGACGAAATATAAAATTTCACCCATTTATAACGACCAAAATTGAATCAAACAATTTTTGAGCATCGAAGCGACTGAAAAGAAATGACTTTTCTGCTTTGTCATATTTCAAAGAGGTTCCATCAGATTATAACGATTGTTTTTCTTTGAATAATAAGAAATGTTGTGTGATTCAATAGCTTTCAGCCATTTCTTTTCAAACTCACATATAGGCTATCAGATTTCAGGTTGAAAAAAAATAGGAAATTTACCCATTAATCACTCACTTTCTGGTCCATTAATTTTCTGTAATAATGACACATAACTGATACAGTCCGCGCTTCCAATATGCCTCACACACGGCTATTCAATTTTGTCGAAGCTTTCAGCGACATCGCAATTTTGATTATCTGCTGAAAATCAAAGCTTGACAGAAAAACACGCCTGAAAATTGATTAACGTGCCCATTTTTCGATCTCCAATCGAAATTAGTACAATATAACAGCCTGAAATAAAATTCCAACAATGGCGGATTTTATGGAAGCAGGACTACCAACAGAATTATGGAAAGCGGCTAAAGTTAAAAGCGCAGTAAAAAACTAATTTCTTTTACTCAAATCTGCCACAAATACTAATAAATGTCTAAAAATTTTTATAAAACAAAATACGAACTCCAGCGTTTTAGGCAATTTTACAAAGTTGGTGGTGAACTATTGACCGCCAAATATCAATATTACAAAAAAAGTTTGAGTACCTATTTTTTTTTCATTTATTTATTATTTTTGTTTTGTTTCAGGGGTTAGAGCTAAAAGGTCAGATGGTGTATTGCCCGGAATCCGATTCGATCCTCTTCATCGGTTCTCCGTTTCTCGACGGCCTCGAAGGGTTAACCGGAAGCGGCCTCTTCATCTCGGACATTCCAATGCATGACGCCACCAGAGATGTCATTCTTGTAGGCGAACAAGCCCGGGCTCAGGTAATTCTAGATTAAAAATCCGAAGAGGGTTCAACTCCTCGACCGCAAACACTCTAATTTCCGGGGTTGTGCCGCCGAAATCCGGATCGAATGACTCGACCAGACTTCTTAACTACTTGAAATTAATCAGATTAATTAAGTCGTTTGAACGTGTTCGCGTCCAAATTTTTCCGGGATTGACCAAAAACTTGTGCATTAAGCTCATAAATATTCAACTACTTGATACATAAATTAGTAATCGACTCGAAACTCATTTTTAATTAAAACTGTTTGAGGGGTGTTTACCATCAATCAGTTTTGGTGATTTTGCAAATATATCCACGTCTTTGGTTATTTTTCGTGGTATGATATGAGTTTTTGTCCGATTGGCAGACGTTGGAACTGCCACGTTCGAGCAATGGGATTGAACTCATAATAGACGTTTTTTTGGAAATGAGAAGGGCTTTTGAAGGACGAGTCTTGTCCGGATTATTGACATTTATTCAATAACGAAAGAAAGAACGAGACATGAAAGACAAATTAACGTAATAACCATGAATTTCGCCAGTTCAAAACCAAATTGCAATGAAGGAAAAAGATTAAGTTTAAGACAACGAAAAATCATTAAATCACAAGGGATGTATTCAAAGGCACGTTTCTTTCAAAGGTCAAGAGACTTAAAATATTTTTTTAAGTCAATATAATAAAAACGGAATTTTTAAAATGAAGTATTTTATCCTGCCACACCGATCATCAAAATAAATGAAAAATTCTTAAATAATAAACAAGCACAAAGCAATAATTTTAATATATACAGTATGTCCCCAGATTTAGTTTACAGAAGGAATTTTTTTTTATATCTTTGACAAAGTGACATCGTTGTCAAACAAATAGAACCGCTATCGTAATAGGAGTTATAAAGCAGAGAAAAATTATTCTATAAGTCTAAAATCAAGAAAAAAGTGAACTTTTCTCCCTAATGAATCAGAATAATGAGATTTGCTCGTTTGATATGAAGCAAAAAATGTTTTTTTCTTTACAATTTTGGCGTAGAATCAAAAATAAAAAAAAATTCGTTTCCTCTTGTAAACTCAATCCGGAGACATACTGTATATATACTTTGACGGTTTCAAAAATAACAAATACAACTTTTGCTTTAAAAATGTTTTTTTTTTAATTAAAAAATAATAAAAAATAAATCTATACTGGATAAAATTGAGTCATTCAAATCCTACATACAAACCGCTTGCAAGATTTGTTTATACTTGCCACTTTGTAGCTTTTATAAAGTTTTTCTGTATAAAATAGTAGAGTATTTTAGGTCTAAATCTGTCAGGGTCAGGGTCCAATTGTTACACAGATAATTCTTTTACATAGAAATCAAATGTTTGTCATCTATTTCAAGTATGAAATGGCTCTGAATTAAAATTTAATTTGCTTTTTCTAGATACATTTTAAAAATCAAAAGTGGCAAAATTACAAAAAGCAAAATTACACTTTTCAGCAAGATATTTGAAGTTCTAGATTTTTTTTTAAATATTTCATAATAGGAAATTTTTATTTTATTTCGAAAAAATTTTATTTTTATTTTTTAATAAACAGTAATCTTCATTTTAGACATAAAAACCTTTTTCAAGTATATTTTTGTTTGCAAGAGAACTTTTTTCAGAAGGTTTAAGTTTTGTCGTAAAACAAAAATTTTTCTTTTACTTATTAATTTTTTATAATTAATTTAATCCCGATGGATGTACTATTTCTGCTCATCTCTGTAAAAGAAACTGTTAAATTAAACTGTTAAATCTAAAATCTGTTTTTGAAACGCAAAAAACACATTTGAGAGCTTAATCCCCCCACTTTCCATCGGATTAATTCTTGTTTCACGTAATTAAAAATGAAAAACATTTTTTTTAAATACAAACCCGTTCCTCACATCCTTTTTAGAGTTAAAATCTCGTTCAAAAGCTTTTCTTTTCGCGTTGTCTAAAAACCAGCGTTGCAAAAAATCGCAAACTGATCGCATTCAATAACTTCCAGCCAATCAGTAATTTTCGTAAAAAGCTTTTATGGTGCGTGTGCATCGACTTCGCTTCTCAAACCTATCTCGTGGTGTTATTAGCTCGAAAGCAGTGGTCCCATAAAAACGAAGCCTCTGAATTACGAGCTTGTCGTTCCCTCGCCGCTTATACCTGCATGATAAATCGTTGCGGTTATACCCCGTGATGTAATAAAGAACATGTCGTAAGTAATCCCCGATGTCCAATCGGATAAACGCACCGCTGGTGCATACGATCCGGTGGAAATTTATCGGAATTCCGGGGACGACTTGATCAGAACCTCTGAAATATTTCATCCGATTCGATTTCAGGACGGCTTACGTCGACGAATGGATAAACTCAAGAGCTCGATTGAGGAGGGCAACAGGGCCGTCGATAAGGAACGAGAAAAGAACGTCAGCTTATTGCATCTGATTTTTCCGCCAGACATCGCCAAACGGCTCTGGCTAGGTACAGTTACTCTTGTACCACAAAAACACCAAAATTATTACAAAAACTCTAGTAATTGTTTTATTGTAATTTTTTTAATACCTAGGTCAAACCATCGAGGCAAAGACCCACGAAGACGTCACCATGCTCTTCAGCGACATCGTTGGTTTCACATCAATCTGTTCCACGACCACACCCATGATGGTCATTAATATGCTGCAGGATTTATACAATCAATTCGACGTGTTTTGTGGCCAACTGGACGTCTACAAAGTAAGTAGTGTAAATGGAAGGCAAACAAGGATCATTTCCGGACGAATCTCGGACCGGAAAGCATCTAATGAATATTTTCCTTTTGGTCACGTATTTGCCAAAGTGCTCGTCTTCGAAATAAACGACGTGTCAGGAACGATTTCGCCACTTTAATAAACTTTGCGAGACGCGACACGATTTTTCACTTTGGTTATGTGCATAAAATGGCATGCATAATTGATTCGACAAAGGAAAATTATTTTAACGCGGAAAATACACCCAACGTATTTTATTCAAATTCGGCTTTACTTAAAGATTTTATGCTTTGCATGCAAAAATAATAATGGCACCACTATTAAAACACACATGTGGGTGGTAAATTAATAAATTAAACATATTTATCCACAATCACTCTATAAAGAGACTTTATTCCACACTTTAGAAGCGTATCAAGTACCAGTTTATCCACTAGTGGAATAAAGTAACTTTATTCCACTGTTAGTAACCAGCGCACCGCGTAACAGCTAACTACGTTTAACAGAAAGCACATTTGGCGTGACGTTTAAATGTCAGTTTAATTTTTAATTAAGTTTGGATTAATTTGGGTATGTGATTGTAGATAAAACGTTATATTGCAGTCGTGTGTTAGTCGCGTTTTATCTACTTAAGAAAATTAACCACTCGAACTGAAGTTCTCGTAGTTAAACATTTTTGAGTGGATAAAACGCTATCTAACACACTCTTACAATAAATAACTATAAATTGTTAGCATCAACGTAACTTTATTTAAAAAATATATTAGTTTGTCCCGCATCCACCATTGTTATATCAGTTTCAATAAAAAAAGTTAAATTTTTAATATAATAAAAAGTAATATGCTTTTAAAATTACCTAAATTAATAAAAAAAAACTGTAGCGGCCTTAATAGCTCTTTTAGTTCTAAAAACATCCAAAAATTAAAAAAATGTATCTTTTCCATAGAAAATAAAATTCTAATTTAAAACTTTTAGAAAGCATCAAACTCAATTTTTGTAAGTATTAATTATTAGAAAAAATTGTGTTTCTTGGTGCCACATTTCTAATCTCACTATAATATTTTGCTTTTTATTATACTTACTTAAAATATAAATTTTAATTAAACATTACCCGGTTTATTTTATTAAAATTATTATATATTAAAATTAAATTATTAATTAACCTTTAAAAATTATTCTTTTAAATAGAATGTTTTTTTTTCTACTCCCACATCTAAAACAAGGATTACCGTTTATGTTTCCATGACGCTAAGTGACCTTTTAAATACATCTTGACAAGCCGTGATTAGTAGGCGTATTAGTTACGTTGCTAATAGCTACTGAAGTTAGCTTTCTGTCATTTAATTGTATTGTTAATTTAAGTAATTTTTTTTTGTGGTGTCGTAGAAAAAGTATAGTATGTAACACGTGTACAAACTTCTCTAGACATTTGTTTTATTAAACAGTCGGTCCGTTGCTCTTCGCCGCTCGTGCCTAATAAAACTCATGTCTAAAGTGGCATTTATAACATCAATGGCACCCAGAAAACCTAACGCTAAAAATATAATCGTATAGGATAATAAGCACTGTTGATGTCGTGACGTTTTTTAATAAGCTTTCCTTATGACAATTTTTTTAATTTACCTTATAACGTAAGGCAATCCTGATTTTTGACATCAAATGTCAGCGGAAATTTTGACTAATGTGCATTTTATTCAATTTGAGTGAAATAATGTTCACTTTAAAGCAGAAAATTTTTATTGTTGCAAGTTATTACAAAAATGTTGTGCAAGACGAAAACGGTGAATGGTCATTTTCACTTTCAGTTTGTGTGGAAAATTTCCAGCCCAGATTCCCAGCCAACGTGTTGCCAACTGTAGAATAGTAATCGTCGCCTACTCCATTTTTTTTATCGCACGGTATAAATTTTTAGCAATAATAAGTTCTACGCTCACCACGCAGAAGTCATAATTTGGACTGAAAATACTTTTAATATTTCAATTTCCACGTAGTATTTTAGGAACAAAAGACGGAGTAAAACTCTCCAACTTGTTTTGATACATTTCAACATTGTTTCGTTTAAATAATCTTACTTCCAAATATCGCTTTTAACCACTCTCCTCCAATTAATTATTCATTGTTTTGAATATAATATTAATAACTTTGCAACTCGACACAACCAGACATTTTCCTTTATCTAATTAAGTACAAATAAGTAAGAATCTGGCATGAATACTTTCTATTAACCAATATTATACCGCAATTCTGCCGCAAAACACTGAATCCATTAAAGTTGCTTTTCGATGTATTCCGCCCTCAATGGCAACTTTATCAGAGTCCTTTAAAATAGATAATTTAATAACACAGATGCATAAAGGTCACTCTCAGCCTTAACAATGAAACGTAATAATTCAATTTGGAAGTAAAAGTTTCCAGATAATTCCACTAATCCCCAATTTTAATGGAATTTAAAATAGATTTCCAATAAAGAAAAATTAATCAATTGTAAACGCCTCAATAGCATCGATTTTTTCCCTTTTGAAGTAAAATAAACGTGCAGAGATCACTTGCCTCCAGGATTATGAAATTAAGGGCATGATAATGATACAGTTCGTGATAGAATCCTACGCTTTGTGAGGTAAATTTCGTTCGATTCCCTTTGGAGCAGTTCCGGCGTCGTCGCGTTGCAAACTGCAACTGAAAAGTTGAAAATGGTCATATCTGCAACGATCGTTACACAAACGGACCATTGTGGAACGGTTGCTTTTCACTACAGCCGCAAAAAAGCCTTTAATTAAAAGAAAACAGATAGTATAGAAAAACAAGTTTTTGTAAAAATAATTACTTTAAATTTTACAAACCTTGTTTCAGGTGGAAACAATAGGAGATGCGTATTGCGTAGCCGGAGGTTTACACAAAGAGACCGACACCCACGCACTCCAGATTGCCTGGATGGCCTTAAAAATGATCGACACTTGTTCACATCATCACACGCATCAAGGCCAACCGATAAGGGTGAGTGTGACGTAGATAAGCCAAATCAGCTCAAGCGCAAAATTTTAAAGTAAACTGAAAGAGGAATCGATGGAAAAATTGTTTAGAGTTTTGTTTGGCAGTTGGAAGTTTGGGTTCGAAGAGAGATGCGGTTTTATTTATTGGGTGCTCTTTTTGAGGAAAACAAAGTTTGAATCGAAATTTATTTGTTTGGGTGTTTTTTAATGTTTCAGTCTAGTATGGCAAATATAGGACAATTTTTCAAAATGATTTCGAATAATTTTTCTGAAGTTAACGATTGGGCGTATAAGAATGATTGAGCAAAAATGTAAAGTCAATACTCCAAAAAATCTTTAATTTGAACCACTAGTTGCAACGATTGGTTTTACATGTGTTAATTACAAAAATTTTAGGCGGAAATTTGCAAACCAAAACCGAAATATACTATTCCTGTTTGTAGATGCGGATAGGTCTGCATACGGGGTCGGTTCTGGCAGGGGTAGTGGGGGTGAAAATGCCCCGTTATTGCATGTTTGGCCACAATGTAACCATCGCCAACAAGTTCGAATCCGGGAGCGAACCACTCCGGATAAATGTTAGTCCGACCACATACGAGTGAGTAATTGAAACTAATCAAAATTCTTAATAATAAATTAATAATGTTTAGGAGATTGGTGCGGTTTGAGGGTTTCAATTTCGAGGCCCGCGACCGGTCCTGTCTCCCCAAGGACTTCCCCGCCAATATTCCGGGCACTTGCCACTTCCTCTCTGACTACAAGCACCCGTCCTTACCGCCGGACGACTCTCTCACTCAACACATCGAAGCCGGCTTGAAGGAAATCGGACTCAATTCCGACATATCCTAATAAAGCCGGAGCAATAATCCTGCTGCTTGTACCATAGCGCAATAATCGCACACTGTGTATATACCGCTGGACCAGACGACGCAATAAAGTCACGATTTTCTGTTTTCACCGCTTATTGTACATATGTAAAGACGGGACGAGCTCACCTTATACCGATTTTGTGGATTCGATGTATGTACTACTGTGTTCAAACTTCGGACTCGTACCCGAGACTGCATGTATAAAGAAAACCATTTCTATTTACCTGAAAGTATAAAGCGTTTGTTCTAAACTTCGGAGATAGGAATTTGTAAGATTGTAGATTGAGTTTCAAACAAAACTGTCTTTCCTTCTTAAGCTTTATTCGATAAAATCAAAGACTATTCTCATGTTAATGTATATTAGGCGTAACAATTATTTCTCATTGTTTTCGACTGAGTTGGAAAATTGTTTTATGTTGAATAAATTATTAAAATTATGTCAGGACTTTTATTTATAGCTTCCCTGAAAACACAACTCGGAAATAAATTTCTAAAAGCACAGACAACACACTAAAAGCGTTTGTAAAGCCGGATCTTCGTGATGGAGGCATATTTAAAGTTTTAGTTACCACTAATGGTTGGTACGTGACTTCGTAAATTTTTCATTGAAAAAAATCGGAGTTAAACGAAAACAAATCAGGTAACTTTATACTAAATTCAACTGAATTAAAACAAAAAATAAGAAAATAAAAAATCTGTTTAAGAAATACGCAGTACAGTAGCTGATGCAAATTTTCCACTTCTTGGTAATTCTTGACAAGTTGAATGAAGTTTTCTGCATATTTTAACCGTTCCTAAAAATTTATGGTAATTTTCGTGATGAGGAAACATTTCTGTACAGAGCGATTCACAAAGGGTGTATTTATGTAATAAGACTTCGTTATGAAAGATTACAATAACATAAACACAATGCTAAATCAAGAAAATTTACAATTAACTTATTTTTTTGTATAAAGAAAAAATTCAGGTATATCCATTAAAAATTTTTACTTTTTTCCAAAAATACTGTTCAAAATATCATTATGTAGTCGTTTCTTTTTCTTTTCATTTAAACTTTTCGCAGAATTCTCGCTGCAGAAAGTTAAAAATTTAATTTCGACATTTTTAATTCTAATTGAATCATATTACAAAACTCAAGTAAGTAATCTTTAGGTTCTCCAGTTATAATCCTCTCGACTTACAAACTTAATAGTTTTAGTTCTGGCACTCGTTCCTCCAGGATCATTCATTTTTTGCCCCTCAAACTTTTTAATCTCAAAAGACAAGCAACCACTTGTATTTTCATTACATTTTTTTTTAATTAATACTCTTCCTGTCCACTTCCAGATAATTACAATGGTCAGGTCAACAAATTTGAACAAATTTTTGGTAACATTGATTAAACTTTCCACGTTTATGATTTTTCACTCTGATTTCGAAAATTTTCACAAAAATGTCTCATTACGTATCATTCGTATGTTACCAACTTCATTCTGACACTCATGTTAAAGCAAAAGAGTACTGAAAATAATTCAACTATTTAATTTATTTTATTATTAGCATACAATATTTTAATAAACTAACTTTAGAAACATTAAAAAAGTCATATATTACAATAAAAGAGTGAAATCTCAACATTTTCTTACGTTAGGTAGGTAATATCGATGACGATTTTTAGATCAATTATTACCAAATGATGATAATGTAATTTATGTAAAAAGAAATAACAAAGTATTTCGAAATGTGATACCTGTAACTTCTTCATGTGATATTGAAGAAAACGATTGGGTTCTTGTAGTTTTTCCAACAGATAGAGGCTTAGAAAAATTTTATATTGGGAAAGTCCTATAATTAAAGAAACAAAAATTTGTGGGTTCGTTCTTGCGAAACAAACATACTAAAAATGATTATGGGCACTGGTACGTATGGCCCATTACAGAGGACCACTGCGAATTCGGATTTAATGATATTGTGGGGAAGTTGGAAAACCCACAAGAATCTCGATTGGGATTCAGATTTGAAGTAGATTTCAATGACTTCTAATATTTACGTGATGTTTTTATTGTTAATACAAAATGCGTTACCTCTATTGAAATATTAATTAATGTTTAATTTTTATTTATAAGAATATTTTTTTACGTTTTATAATAAAAATTTAAAATAATGTGTCTATTTCCTTTCAAAAAATGAAACATCTGGGACAAAAATTAATTTTAAAATGCAATCTAGACTTGCAAATTCATATTTCTTTACTATATTTTGTTCTGATTTGGAAATAAGTATTTTAAAACAGATTTAATTGCAAAACATATCAAATTTCTGATTTGGGCCATCTGCGGGTAAATCAGAACAAAGTCTAAAAAAAATAAAATTAATATTTTCCAATGCATAATCTAATAACTATTATACCTTATCGTAAACTAAACATTCGGAACCCTATTTCAGTTCCCAATTTTGTACCATAAGTAGCATGGGAAAATAAATATAGCTGTTTGATTTTTTTTAGTTCTGATTTAGGCCATTTTACGATACGTTACTGTCGCGTTTTAAAAAAGCTAACAGTAATCGCCCATCATGGAAGGGTTCCAGCGGCCTTGATAGCGTTCTTTCACCTTTCTGATGTCTTGGTGAAACCCCTCCCCTTGTTCGTCAATGACAGCCCCCAAATTTATTGGAAACAAATACAAGTGGGAGTGCAGAAAATGTATTTATTAAATTATTGGTAAAAAATGCAACAAATAAACGGTACGTGTTATCAAAAAACTAAATGCATTTTGTTATTTAGGAAGTAAAAAACTACTATTGACCAAATCGTCATCAATGTTACCGAACCCTTGTTGACCTGTGTTATTAATAATGTAGTTTATTTAATTTGTTTTGAAGCTTTCGTGTCGTTGCTAAGCACTCAATTAATCACCATGACAGCCGTTTATTTGCAAACAAATCAAACTGTGACAAAATCTTTGCCACTTTTCCCCAAAAATGTTAAACTTCCAATTAACAACAGAGAAAGATCGACGAGAAGCCGCTCTCATCGACCGACGACGAGCCATCGAAGAAGAGCGCAAGAAACGCATTTTCAACCCTCGTCAGCGCTTATACGGAGTAAGACCGAAAAAACTCGTCTTTGAACCTAATTTAATCACCTAAACGAAACTTAGATAGATTATGAAACTTTACAAAGACAGATCGAAGAGAAAAGACAGCGGGAAGCCCAACAAGCACGCATCGACCGGATATTCGATGAACAACGAAAGAAAAACGACGAAATGGCCCTTGCGCTTGAGAAAAAGGAGAAACAGGTAGAAAACAGAAAAAGTCGAGGTTTTTAGATAAGAGAATTATCCTCAGGAACGTATGAAACTCGAACAGGAGATAAATTACTTCCGGATGTGTTGCCAGAAGCCGGAAGACCGGCGCGAATTCGATTTGAACGACCCCAATCTCTTGAAGAAAGCCGCACCAGCACGCACCGCTGACGACGACCCCAAATGCGGACCCTCCTCAGCCCAAAAGTAACTTTCGTTTATCACTTGCAAATCAACGTTGGGAAAGCAAGACGCTAAAATTGTGTCAACAGGTTTGAAGGTGAAGATCTAGTCAGCATCGAAAGGGCCAAAGTGCAGCGAGATCAAGTCAAATCGTGGCTCGACCAACAGATAATGGAGAAAGAAGCCGCCGATAAGGAGCGCAAAGCGGCGGAAGAGGCCTACAGAGAGGCGATCAAGGCACGAGATCAAAGAGCCCTACAGTTAGATAAAATGGAGAAAGAGTGTCGGAAGCGACTCGAAGAGGCGTGTCTCAGGTTCAACAGGGCGTTGGTACATAAAGAAAACACATTTTTGACCTTTGAAAAATTTATTGGAATTGTTACAATTTTGATAGGCCGATGAACGTAAAATAGACGAAATGAAGAGACTAAAGAGGGAACATGATGATTGTCTCGCCGAAATGTACAATTTTATGACGAGTGATTTGCTGACGGAAAATCCGGACGTGTCCCAAAGTAATTTAGGTCCGAATCGCAGAATTGGATACTTGTACAAAGGGATGACCGTCGAGGAGAAAAAGCAAGTCAGGGAGTACCAATTGGCCCAAATCGAAGAGGCAAAGGTGCGTCTAATAGCACTTTGGCTACTTCAATTTAACCATAAACCAAAGTCAAAAAAGAATATCTACACATCAAACACTATTTCTATTACAAGGGAAAAAAATGTAACTTTTCCTCCCACAAGTAAAAGTTAATGCCCGAGACTTGTCAAGGGCAGTAACCAACCTGGGAGGAAAAGACACTTTCCTCCACTGTAATACATACAGGGTGAATATAAAGAATGGAACCAAGCGGCTTTATTTTTATCTTGTTAAATCATCACATTTTTATAGTACTTTATCACTCATCAATTAGTTTTTGCAAAAAATAAATAGTTTAAGCAAAAAACGTTTGGTTCCATACTTTTTATTCACCTGGTATAATCTTTCCTACAATCCAGCAAGAAACACTTCAAAACTAACAATGTATTTTTATATCACACTTTCAATATTAAATCTAGCTTACTCTCTTTTAAAGTCGTAGAAAAAATCTTTTATTCAATAAGTAATTAGATAAGTTAATCTTTCCCGAATGACATTCTACATTTAAACAACAAATTTCTCTGAACTTAATTAAACTTATTAATCAATTGCCCGAAATCACAAGGACTCGGAGACAAAAAGAACTAACAACTTAAAAAAAAATGGTAATTTTATTTTTAAACTTATAATCGGCGGTGCTGTTTTTAATTCTGTTTAGTCACAATCATAAAGCAAAAATCAAATTAACAATTGATATGAAGTATTAGGTTCAAGCTGAGAAATCACCACTTCCCAACCTGAACTGTCATATGTCATATTTTTCAAAATTTAATAAATTCTTTATTGTTCTTTAAGAAGGATGATTGTGAATAAAATAGTATACAAACCTTGGTGGTAGTTGTTTCATCATACCCCGGCTTATTGATAACCGCTTCGCGCCGTGTAATCAAATTAAAAAATAAATAAAATAGTTTTGCTATCGAAGCACCTCCCACGTTCGTATGTAATCTACTAATAAAACACAAACAGTAAACAAATAAGCAAATTGTTTTTTTTAATTTGTTTAATTGAGATCGTCCCCAATAATATTAAGGATTTCTATTTAGTATATTTTAAAAAAGGCACCCAAGGGTTTAGTTAACATCCCATTTAATTCTTTAGAAGCGAAAAGAGTTTGAAAAGCGGATGGATCGAGAATACGACGATTACATTAACGGAACACAACGCACAATATCATTATTGGACAAAGAAGAAGCCCGAAAACAGAGGTTCGTGATTAAAATTTAAAAGGATGTAGCAAAATGTGTTTTTTTTTAGGGAAATGGTGAAAAGTTTAGCTGAGGAAAACCGAAAGTTAGCAGTCGAACAAAAACAACGTAAGGAGTTTTTGGAGAAAGTCGTTTATAAAAACACGCCAACGTCGGAATTCTACGACCAGTTTAATAAATCAACAAGATAATAAAACTGTGTTTTATTCATTTTTAGTAGCGCAGTTGAGGGCCTGTTATTAGGCCCGAATCGTGTAGGTTTTTGATTGAAGTGGCAATAATTTTGGCCGTTTTTTTCAAATAGCCGCCGCTGGTTAACATCACTATTGGGATGTTTCTAGAACGAGCTTCCCGAAATACCAATTCATCCCTTTCGATGATTCCCTGAAAGTCACTCAAATAGTTTCATTGTTACGACAGTTATTACTATCAACCTGGGGCGAGACTGATAAGCACCCCAACGCATCCCCTTTGAGAATATCTGTCCCGGCGTTGTAGACCATCAATTGAGGGCAAAACTCGGCTAATGCCTCGGTGATGTTTTTTGCAACTTTGCTTAAATACTCTTCGTCTTCTGTAAAGTGTGTCAGTTCGACTTTTCGGGTGATGTACTCCTTGGCGCGTTTGTCGAATGGGTAAATCCCTTTGTTGTACACGTCTATGATGTAGACGTTGGGATTATCTTTAAAATCCCGTTGATATCCATTACCTTGATGAGCGTCTAAATCCACGATCATGACATTTTGAACGCTTCGAGGGTGATGATTAAACACGAAATGGATCAATAGTGTTATATCAGCATACACACAAAACCCACCACCTTTGCTACCGCAACAATGGTGAAAACCACCCCCAATATTTATTGCCCAGCCACGTTCCAGAGCTAACTTTCCCGCCAAAACAGAACCGCCAGTCTGGAACCGCATCGGACGCAAATATCCCCTTTGAACCAAGCAATTTGGCACGAGACACAGCGGAAGCACTTCCGCTATCAACGCTACGTTAAAACTACACTGAAATAAAAAAAAATTACCCAATGAATGACCAAGAAAAATATTTACTTTCAGACTTTTCAAATACTTTTTAGTGTGAACCGTTAATAAGTCTTCATTGGTTGCTTCATTTGGCACCGAAAGTGTTTCGTCGCTAATTAAACCACAACTACTCAAATATTTGTAAATATTGCCCCACTTGCCGGCATCAAAGGGGTGCAATTTTTCCAACCCTAAAAACCGGACGTTATATTCGGGTCTATAAATAATCGGCCACTGTTCCGGTGCAATATCTATATAGAGTTTCGTACTGAAAATTATTTAACTTTAATCAAGTGGCGCCAAAAACTGGGATTTACTCACTTCATATTTGGCGCCAAAACTTATCGATTGCTGCACCAGATGTTTGAAATTAGATCGACTCCACCGTAAACACAAACAAACCACTACACTATTTACCCCCACATTTAACCAAAATCTTTCAAATATTTGTAAATTATCGCACAATTGTTGAAATAAACGTGAATAATTGTCATTTCAGTGTTACTTGCTTTACAGCTGGTGTTAGTTTGTTGTGACCTTCGACAGATGTCTCTGTCAAATTTTTAAAATTTGAATTCTTTCAAAAAAATGTCAGCGTAATGGTCCTTTGGAGTTATTATTATGATAAGTTCGGGGGATATTAATATTCAGTGAGTCTAGTCGAGACAAATAAAAATTGTGTTTATTGTTTTGTAGAAATTTTCAGTCACTTATTGAAAATTATGAAGCTGCTCTCAAGGAGGTGACCGGGGATTTGGACGAAGTCCAAGTAAGTATCAGATTTGTGAGTTTTTTTTTTGCAAAATTGTGACAAAATACGGTTTTAGACCGAACAAAAGGCACTCAAGAGGGCCCTCCACGAAAATAATCAATTGAGAGATGAATTAGGTCGAGTTTTTGCCGATAAAAATAAATGTGAAGTTGAACACACTTACAAGGACAGCGATTTGGTTGAAAATTTGAAAAAACAGCTTCACATTGTAATTCAAGAAAAAGAACAAGCCGTCAAATTATGGCAAAATGCTGCATCCACTGTTGAACACCTAGAATCAGAACTTCGCATTTTTCAGGAAAACACCGAAGGATTTATTCCGAAAAATCAACTCATTCAAGTAAATTTAATTTTTTGTTAGTTTTGTTGTTTACTAATTTTTTTTTAGTTGAAAAATTCGTATGAAGCGAAATTAAATGAATTGCAAGATACAGTCGTTCGCACCAAAATCAAATTGGAAGAAACGATTAACTTGAAGTCGAAAGAATTGCAAATTAAAGACAAAGAAATTCTTGGGAGTCTTCAAAGTCAAGACAACACATTTAAAATAATAAAAAATCTCGAGGATGAAATTCTGAATCTCCAACATAGACTGAACGATTCAAACGGAAATAAAGAAAAGTTAGAAAAGGACGTGAGACTCAGAAATGAAGAAATCGAAACTTTGAAACTGAAAGTCAAAGAATGTAAGGCTAAAGTCTCTGAAGCCCTTCAAGTCGTTGAAGCAGCTCTTAATGAAAAAGATGCGGCACTTTTGCGCGAAGCTGAAGCCAAAGGTTGGTTTCCCTTTTTGTTTTTCACTTCAAAAACGTTTTTCTTGTAGAAGAAACAGCAAAACTTTCCCAAACTTTGACCGAGTTTATCGACGAAACAGACTTAAAAGTCAGAAGTATAAGAACTGACCATGAGACCAGATTAGAACAGATGAGACAAGCATTGGAAGCAAATCAGGAGTTAGTGAGAGTAAAAGAAATGGAAATTGAAACTTACGCAAAAAAATGTGCTTTGTTGGAAAATCAAATTGAGGATTTTCGCAAAAATCGGACTTATGTGGACGATGGGGGGACTTCGAAAATTCTAGTTTTAGAAAAGAATCTTGAAAATACGTTTCAAAAATTGGTGAGAGGCTTTTGTGATTGTTTTTTACATTGAGTTTTAGTTGTTTTCAGAGAAACAAAATATTCAGCTCAAGTCTGAAATGGAGGATATAAAGAGCGACTTGAATCAAATGTCTCATTATTATGAGAGAGACATTAACGCCAGAGAAGCTGAAAAAACAGCTCTAAAAAACGAAATAAAGAGACTCAAAACGGAGCTCGAAGAAAGTTTCCTCAAAGTGTCCGAAAGCACAATCGCCATAAACGACCTGAATGAGAAAATGTCATCCATGGAAATAAATTTTAAAGAGCAGATAAAAGAAACGAAAAATTCCTTTCAACAGACGTGTCAAGAACGCCAAGAAATGGAAACTTTTCACCAACAACTAGTCCAGGAATTGCAAGAACAATTAATTTCGCAGACTGAAATCAACAAGAAATGGCGAGCCGAAACAAAAAACATTACCCAACAGTTGGAAAAAATAATAACAGAATTAAAAGCAGCAAACAATAAAATGAAACTAGAAAACAAAGTCCTTAACGAGCGTCTCAAGGACGCAAATGTGAAAATGTTCGAATATCGCAAATTCCTAGAAATGATCTCACATGACGTCACGAAAATTACGACAGTAACTTTGCCTGAAATAAATGAGTGTGCTAGGTGATGGTTTGTTCGCTTTTTTGTTATAAAATGTTTTATTTAACTGATTGTGGAGTCAATACATGCATTAAATAAACTAGGAAAGTAGTATAATTTCTCTTTAGGGCTCTGTAGGTCCACCCATGCCAATCCTTGGTCTACCATATGGTCCAGGGCTTTCCTAGCCCTCTCATCCTCCCAACCCAACTCCCGTTTGAGATAACATACAGAAACAAATGCCTGATTTGAGTGAGTTGCTTGCTGCAACACTGCCGTATGGTCCATACTTAATTCACCAGGGATGGACTGTACCATATATTGCCCCTTTCCTATAGGAATCACCATAAAGCCACTTCCAAAAATTTTCAATTTTTGTGCCGCGCGTATTAAATCGTCTTGCGTAATATCTTGGTGTTGCTTGCCTTTACCTCTAGCTTTAATCAATCTTGTCCTAAGTTCATCCAAACTAATCAAACCCCCAGTTTTGTAATTAGTGGCCAAACAAACTTCAACAATTTGAACTGCTAGTTCATAGTAAAAATCCCCGATGCCTAACACTGACCAGAAGCCCTGTTTGCCGGAGGACAAAGGATCGACTCCAATACTAGCACACATTTCTTGAAACTGACGCCGAAATTCCGGATTTTTGCGAATTTTATTTTTATGTTTGGTAGCAAATTCCTCTAGATTTTCTTCTAATATTACCAGTTGTTTAGTCATTTGTTCGAAAAGGTTTTCCTGAATTTCATTTCCTTTATCTTTGTATTTTTCTTGTTCCAATTTGTGTTTTTGAATCGCCCCCAGTCCGGCCCTGCGCCTCATCTCGTACAAAACTATTTGCAACCCACTTTGCGACAACAGGTAATTATCACATGAACGTAAGTTTTTAATGAAAGTAGAGATCAGTTAATTGAATTTTCAACTATTTTCTCTTATTTTCTTAAAAATATTTGTGACATTTCATTTATGGTAACATTAAGAGTAGCCAACACTTAGGGAAAAAAGTAAAAAACCCTAGATATAATTAACTTCAGTTTTCTTGGAAAATTATTAATGAGATGTAATTTTAATTACAAAATTGTTTCATTAGTTTACTATCACCTCTTGGGTTACAAAAGTGGGGTCAAATGCGTTATATTGTGGTTAAGTTGTGATAAAAATGTTGGGCGTGGAGGGTACTTTCCGTGCGTCATGTTGGCCGTCTTGAAATGAAAGTGATTAGTCGAGGAATCTGTCTTATTAATAATTTTGACGGTACAAGAGTTAGTCATCGTTCGTTAAATATGTGAGACGAAGGATTAATTTAAAATCTTGAAAATGGCACAAAGTGGTCAAGAGGTTGTTTTCGAAGGTTGGTTAACGAAATCTCCTCCAACCAAACGTATATGGCGAGCGGTAAGTAAAAAATCCCCCGATTTGATAAAAGAACGCATTTTCCTCGTATTTTATCAGCTGTAAATGTAAACTAAACAAACGAATGATTCATGCTGTTACTAACATTTGCAGAGGTGGCGAAGACGATGGTTTTCACTTAAACATTCCGGAGAGATTCCAAACCAATTTATACTAACCTATTATGCAGACAGAAATTGCAGAAAATTAAAAGGATTCATTAATTTGGACGACTGCGAGCAAGTTGACTTGGGATTAAAACTTGACGAACGAAAACTTAAATTTGACCATGTTTTCGATATTAAAACACCAACACGTACTTATTATTTAGCCGCGGATTCAGAAAGTGAAATGAAATCATGGGTCAACTGCATCTGTAAAGTGTGTGGCCTTAAATCAACTAGTGATGAGGAAGACTGTAAGTCACAAAATCGCAGTTTTTCATTTTTCAAGGTTATGTTTTAGTGCATGTGTCAGACACCAACACTATTGACAGGGATATAACCTTTTGCGAGGAAAAAGACAACAAAAGGCATGCAAACAATGAAACCCCACCCATTTCACCAGTCAGTACTAGTCCCTACATCCCAATTTCTGAATGCATTACCGGAAAAACCCCAATTTTAACCCCCCTGGTACGTCAAAATTCGCCATTTTGTTGTTACAGTTTGACGTCTAAAATCACTATATTTTTAGGATTTTAAGGCTCTTTTACAACAAAACATGAAAAATAACATAACGCATATGAATCAAACTTATGGCATTTCACAACGAAATTATCTAAATTATGTGAATGATATGCAAGATCCGCGTTTTTACGACTGTCCACGTGTTCTCTCGCCCAATCAAGACGCTAACAATAAGAAAAACATTTCTCCATTGCAAAGCCCCACAGATACTGAAAGTATTTTAACTGATGACGACATGGCTGATGTTAACGTTGTAGTAAAACAGATTTTCACAAAAAGTAAAATCCAGGCACCGCCAAGGCCGCCGAAGTCGTCACATGTGGCGCCCTCTACTTACATCAATCTCACTATTAAGAACGAGTAAGTATCGTGTTTGTGACTTAAGGGGGCTATATTTTTGTTTAGGATCCACGACGAAGACAAGAAACCAGTCCAGGGGATTATAACCGACGACATGTACGACTTTCCACGCTCTCATCAGATTACAGAGGCCGAAACTGTACGAAATATGTTACTACGGAGGCACTGTTACAATAATGCCGCACCTGCTAAGGTCGAAGGTCAAATATTTCGGTATGACATATCCCCCAAACCGTCTACGAGTACGAATCAAGTGTTCCGATACGACGCTGAAGATATCGGGGATGAACCGGCGTCCCCTTTGTCTCAGAGCTCCTCCACGACGGCTTATTCTAACCTCCCGAGTCCTCTTTTAGCCGACAATCAACTAATGCCCCCTCCGATAGTCAACCGAGACCTCAAACCTAAAAGGAAACTTTCTGATTCGCTGTCATCTTCGTCCAATCCCGAGCCATCTTCGCCGAGAGGAGCGCCATCTGTCGACCGGAAATTAAAACCACCGACGCCGCTTCAGGTAATTTTGTATGGGTTGTTGGTGACACTATTTAAATTTGTTTTAACAGGATGCTCAAAAGGTGAAATTGGATGATAAGAGTCCAACGGGGCGAAGGCGGGCGGCACCGAGTCCCACAATCGGGCTGGGTAGGTCCCATGAGAGTCTCCTTTCGCAAAGTAACCAAGAAGAGCAGATTTACCACTATTTACCCGTCAAGATGCAATATCTGGATTTGGATTTGGAGTGCGGGCCGAATTTGAATTCGAGCACGGATAAAGTGCCCTCAAAGTCTTCGGGGGCGAACACTGTTTATAAAAAAGTCGATTTTGAGAAAACTGAGGCATTTAATCTTACGAGAAATAATTTGGAGAAGGAACGCAAAGAGCCAATTTTTAAGAAGTGATGGTGCAATTTATCACGTTTTTATCACTAGATTTTTTGATAAAGCTTTAATGTTGTTTTAATTAAGTGGCCATCTTATGAAAATTCATATCATGTATTATATTAGAGTAAGTAATATTTTTATATTCTACAATGTCATGATAAGGGTGTAGATAAGTCTTACAAATTTTAATGTTGTTATACAAAACCAAGTACGGAATAAATATAGTATTACAAATAAAGGCTCTTATTTTAACGCCTGATGAATCCCATCTTTGCATAATTGAGATTTCGTATTATTTTCAGAACATCGCATTACGAGTCAATGAGCATTTTTACGTAATCGGCAAACCGGAATAAAATCAAACTAATGAACTATGAAATTTTCTATTAAGTATTGCTATCGCCATTTCATGGAAATATAATTGAGTTAGGAGTTGACACAATGATTAAAATCTCTTTTCCGACACTCATATTATTCATAATGCAAAAAATTAAGATCTACTGAGAGGTTTAAGAAATGCAAAACGTTAAAAATTTTCATCCAGTATCTAAGATAATGAAGTTTGTCACGAAACAAAATGTTTTTGATTAAGAATTAAATTTTGAAGCTGTGTGTTGTGGTACTAGTAAACAATTTTCAAAACCACCTAGACCCTAACTAAAGTTGCTTTTCGACGTATATGTAAGAAATAATACAATTACGGTGTTAAATTGCCCTAACGTCAAAAAAACGAATATTTTGTTAAATTATGTGGAAATTAAGTTCGCATAAGGCAAGTTTTTGCCGATACGGTTGAACTATTTCCTTGTTTTCAAGCCACACTAATTCACTTTATCCCCATTTTGAAATGTGCAAAATTTAAAAAGGGCTTATTATGTCACGAATGCAATTTTATATCCTCTGTTACATCACATTTCTGGTGGCCACCGGACAAAATCAGAGAAAGTCGTTTTATTTCAGAAACTCAACGAAATCATCCATAAAATCCGATGAAACACGGCTTCTAATTTAGAAAGTATAAAAACACAAACGATAGTGAAATAAGGCGTCTTATTGTTGACACCGATGCCCAATTGATTATGAAGTAAAATGTAAATTCTGTTACCGTTTTATTTTTAATTTGCACGCCTTATGGATGTATTACACTATTATAGCTCCTTGTATAACATTAAAAGGAGAGAAGACGTATAAAAGCGCTAGTTGGCGTCACAATTCATCAGTTTTGCTCTTGATGGTCTCTTAGTTTTAAAGGATGTGGGGTGGTATTAACATCAGCAGCTGGGGGCTGCTGGTGGTGACTTTACTTTTGTTCAGTGATGTGTTTGCGAGGGTTATTAATGACATGGAAGGGGCTGCAGCGGAGCCCCGACCAGTTTTTGTTGAACTTCCCAAACATCCAGTGAGTCTTCCTCTTGTGTATGAAGTGGGTACTCCCTTATCGGATGCTAGTGAAAAAGTTGAGAAAGTTCTTAGAACCCCTTTGGCCTTTTCATACAATAAGAGAAAGAAACAGAAACCAAACGTGGATTCTAAACCCGACGAGACCATCGTAGAGTTTTACGGACAGAAAAGATTGATTGGGGATGAAAAAGGACGCTCGAGTTTAGAGTATGATGACACAGAGGGCGGCGCAGGGGACGCGGGGGAAACTACTAAACAGTTGGAGGACTACGTCAGAAAAACTAATCGTAAAGATGAGGAAGATTTGGTAGAGAAGGCCAAAGCCATTGCGGATAATGTTAAGGTATTTTTTTGGTTTCCGTATCTTTGAGATTAATTCGGATTTTATAGAGCCATTTTTTTGAAGTTGAGGACAAAAATCAGGATCATGATGGGCATGAAGAAGTACATGAAGATGCGGATGTGTATCAAGGGAAAGTTGGGAGGGTTATTGAGGAGAATTCTCCTGAAGAAGAGGAAGAAAGGAAAAAGAAAGTAAAAAGGAGGAGGAAGAATCGTAATGGCAAATTGAAGAAACGTAGAAATAAGAAAGTGTTTAATGAAAATGAAGAAGATACACAAGATAAAGAAAGTAAAGATGTACAAGCGATACAAGAAAGTGCTTCTGAAGGACATGAAGATATTGAAAGTGATCATAGTGCATATTATCATGGAGGAGGTGGCGGCGGTCACGGACACGGCCATGAAGGTGGCGGTGGAAGCCATGGTCATGGAGGCGGTGGTGGACATGGACATGGAGGAGGAGGTGGTGGACATGGGCACGGAGGAGGAGGAGGAGGTGGCGGAGGTGGACATGGACATGGAGGAGCAGGGGGAGGAGGAGGAGCACATGGGCATGGAGGAGGAGGAGGTGGACATGGAGGTGGAGGAGGTGGACATGGAGGTGGAGGTGGCGGTGGGGGCCATGGTGGTAATGGAAAATTTGAAAAAGGAGGTGGTAAAAAACACAGTTCCGAGCATCATGGGAGTCATGGTGAAAAAGGTGATAAAGGTTATAAAGGTCACCACCATTACGACAAGGGAGAGAAAGGGCATCACGATAAAGAAGCACATAAAGGCAAATACAAAGACGAAGGAGGATCTTCAAAGAAACATCATGAAGAAGCTGGGCATTTTGGGGAACATTCTAAAGGAGAGAAGGGAGAAAAGGGCGCTAAAGTGAGTAATTTTATTATTTTAATGAGAAATATTTACCTGTTATTGTTTGGTTTATAGTATTACGAAGATGGAAAACATAGCAAGGGTCATAGTACCAAGGGAGAGCATAATGTTCACAAAAAGGATGAATATGAGAAAAAACAAGAATTTTACGATGAACATCATGAAGGTGGAGAACATGAAAAACATGGAGGATTCCATGATGACCATCATTACGAAAAGGTTTGTTTATTTTGTGATTAATGATGAAAGAAATGTTAATTATTTCCTCAGGGTGGACACGAAAAAGGTGGTCACAAAAAAGGCGGTCATCATGAAGATCACTATGGAAAGAAAGGCCATCATGAAAAAGGAAGCCATCATCATGAAGACAAAGGACACAAGAAAGCTGGAGGTCATGATGTTCATCATGATCATGTTGATAAACATGCAAAGAAAGTAGATAAGAAAGGAGGGAAGAAATGGAGCTTCAAAAAGAGTTCGGGAACTGGTGGCGGTGGAGGAGGTGGCGGCGGGGGTCATGGCCATGGAGGTGGCGGCGGTCATGGACACGGAGGCGGCGGCAGCGGCGGCGGTGGTCATGGACATGGAGGAGGTGGCGGCGGCGGTCACGGTCATGGACACGGAGGAGGAGGTGGCGGCGGCGGCGGTCACGGTCATGGACACGGAGGAGGTGGCGGTGGACACGGTCACGGAAGCGGAGGTGGTGGTAGCGGCCACGGACATGGACACGGAGGTGGTGGCGGTGGCCACGGACATGGCCACGGAGGAGGAGGGGGAGGCGGAGGCCATGGTCACGGACATGGTGGCGGCGGAGGCCACAGTCATGGGCATGGAGGCGGAGGTGGTGGTGGTGGCCACGGACATGGACACAAGCATGGTGGCGGCGGCGGTGGCCACGGCCATGGACACGGAGGAGGGGGTGGAGGCGGTGGCGGCGGAGGACATGGGCATGGAGGCGGAGGTGGTGGCGGCGGCCATGGACATGGAGGAGGAGGCGGTGGCCACGGTCATGGAGGTAAAAGTGGTGGCGGTCACGGTTATTCTGTTCATGAAAAAGGTAATGTCGGAGCAGGCGGAGGTCATTGGGGCAGTAAACATCATGGAGGAGGAGGTGGAGGTGGTGGCGGTGGTCATCATCACCATTCTGCTCATTTGGAAGCTCTTGATCGCATTAGCGATGATAGAGAACATGATGAAAGTCATGCTGATGAACATGTGGAAGTTGAGAGCGATGTTGCTATTGTTCCTGACGAAAATTTGGATGATGACGGTCATGAGATTGTTCAAGAAAACGACCATGAGGGTCATGTTAGTGATCACTTAGATGAAGATCACAGCGAAAGTGTTAGTCAAGAAGCAGAAGTTGATAAAGAAAATACCAACGAAGATTTAGGAGCTCATGTTAACGAACCTTTAGATGAACCTTTAGAAGATCATGCCAACGAAACTTTAGAAGATCATAGCGATGTTGAAGTAGAGCACGAAGAAGAAGTTGAAGAAAGCTAAGTAGAGAATTAGGTGCCTGAAAATTGTTATTCTAGTTGTAAACAATGTGTATATTTAATGACTTGTAAATTTAATATAGGTGTTATGTCGTTGTTATTATATTTTATATTAAATTGTATTATAAAATAATCTTATTTTTTTTATTTAGTCGTATCTTGTTTTTTTCAAGAAAAATCTTTTCGCTATTGTCAGATTTCGCAGGTACTAAAATTCTTCGTATTAAAAATTCTCCAACTCTTAAATTTTTTAAAGTCAGTGAATGACAGATAAGAGATTACAACAATTCTCGAACTTACGGTGCAAAAATATTATAAATAAACGATATTACAAATGTCAAAATGTTTAGGTATTCGTTATCGTGGTATATTTTTGCATTCACACTATTGGAATCAATAATTAACACACATTTAACAGTTCATGACAGCAATCATGGTAAGTTGTTCACACATTTGGACCCCTTCAAAGTACAGAAATTGTCTTTTAACGATATTTAAACACAAAACATGATATTAATACAATTTTAGGTTTTATCACAAACAATCAGAGGTACTTCGACAACGATCTCAGTGTTATCCAAGAGGTAAGTTCAAATTTCATTACATAAATTCTTATTTATTTCAAACTTATTTTTTGTTTTTATTGCAGGAAATTACATCCGGATTGAGGTAGATTGATTATATACACGATACTGTTCTTATATTACATAAATTTTTTTGTAGGTCATCAAGAATTAATGACGCAAATCTTAAATTACAACTCAAGTTTGAGCCTGAATTTCTTGATTTTAAATACAGGCACGTAATTAAAACTCAAATTCAAATAATTGGAATTTCTCCTACCTAATTGAGACATTTTTAGACCTTTGGGAGTTCCTCATTTAGAAAAAGTTACGTTATTTAATATTGATAACAACAAAAGTATTGATATGACTTCAATTTCGGGAAGTACAGTGCATTTTCATAGTTCTTTTTTTGAGGATAAGGTTAGCAAATAAGTTAAAAAGATTCAGATTTTTAAATTAATTTTCTTTCAGAAAATTCCACCTCTTGGTAACACTACGTTCAATGTAGTTTTTCTGGGACGTGAGGAAGGTTATGTAGAAAGCAATTTATTTATTCACACCACTGAGGGCCACTTCAAATATAACGTATCCGAAAATCTTCCAAAAAAATCTCAATCACATGTTTGTAATTGTAGGTCAAAGGTTTAAGCATTTACAGCCCCTATAGACTTCGCCCTATTGTGGGCATAAAACTGCCAATAAATGCTTCATTCTCTCCTCTAATCTACATGCACAATCCCCACACTCAACCCATTCAAGTAAGTCTCAAAACAACCCTCAAACAACTTTCAGCAAATACATTTTTAGATAGTGGAAGTGTACAGCAGTGGCGGCGACTTTCACCTCGAGCTTCCCACCGGCGAGCTCGAGGGCCCCAAAGACATGTGGGAAATCCCCCCGCTGCAAACCAAAGCCGTAATTCGCGTTCGGTTTCAAGCGAAATCTGAACAAAATCACACAGCTTATGTCAGAATCAAAGTCAACAGTAGTGAAGAAATACTTGTCGTGCCATTAGAAGTTGAAGTTTCAGCAGACGGGGGCATCTTTGACCCCCAAGGGAGTATAGATTTCGGAATTGGGGGCAACTTAGATTCACCCAAAACAGTCGAATTGTGTATTTTTAATCCCTTAAAGAAGGCCGTGAGGATACACAGCGTTGATGCTTCTTCCAATTCAGTGAAGGTCGATTTTGAAAATGTAAAAATTATGCCCACGAAAAATGGTTGTGTTAAAATTGGCACTGTCACTTTGGATTGTAAGTATATTCGGTTATGGTGTGGGTAAAAAAATTGGCCATGAAAAATAATTTTCTATAAACTTTCTCAGGGAAAAGTGCTTTCAAATCGCAGGAATTTTTTGGCAAAATTACAATAAAATATAGGAATGGTAAAAGTAAAACGGAAATTCCGTACTATTTAACCGTTTTAGAAGGTGGTATTACCTACGACCCGCTTGTTACACGATATTTTATCAATGACAAGTCTGAAGGTTTAGCTTCGAGGAGTTTTAAAGTGAAGAATAATTTTTTGTCTCCAGCCAGAATAATTAATTTTACACTAAACGAAGATGCACAAAACTATTTTAAAGTGAGTTTTTGTGGAGTCTTTCTCGGCTATACATTTCTTATTTCAGATTGAAAATTTTAAACCAATTTTACTCAAACCTCAGCAGGAGTCAACAATTTTTACCATCAAACTAAAAAATGGAATTCAAATCACCGATTTGAAAGTCAATTCGAATATAATTATTAAAACGAACGTTTCGGAGCTTTTCATACCTCTTTTGAGCTACAATGGGAAACTACAAGTGGTATTTTATGAAATTTCTGTGTTTATTCGATCAAACATTTTTTTTTTTTTTTAGTATTTACCTTTCAAAAGTAAAGATTATTCGCTCGATCTTGGTTTAATTAGCTTCGATGCGACCAAAGAAATATTTTTCCTCATCGCTAACACAAATCCGGTCACTATATCAATAAAAAACGTCAAAACCTCAATTCCTATGACAAGTGCTGTACTGTTGGGTTGTGCCAGAGGTGACCACAATGCAGCTTTACTTCAAGTGACGTTTCAAAATTTAACGAAATGCGTAAGTCGGGAAAGGCCCGAAAGCACTGAAACGAATCAGACTTTTATTCCAGAATTCGTTAAAAACGACCGAATATGCGGTGATACGTCTCACAGTTCAAACGTTCAATGCTGAAGGCCAAATCTGGGGAGACGTCCAGATTGAAACTCAGTATGAGAATCTTTCAGTCCCTGTGCACTTTAAAGTAGCTTCTGGAAAGCTCGAAATAGGGCCCGATAGACTCGTTTTTGACCAGTGTTTTCCGGTATTTTTTTACAAAGTGGTAGAAAAAATTTCTATGTGACCATTTCAGGGTAAAATATGCTCACACCCGTTACGAGTTCATTCGACTTTCAATGATCCGATGATAATTGAAGAGATAATAAGTTTGCCACCAGATAAACGACTGAGTAGCAAACATTCAGGTCATATTTTGGCCCGTGCGACCAAAGTGATAGGACATTTGTACCTAGATCCGACCCTGGGTTGCGGTAACGAGTGTTACACCGGTCTACAGCACGACACGACAGGTAATTGCTTGATTGTCAAACGTTGTGCTTTCTGATTGGTTAGTTTGTAGCACAATGGCTGAAAACGCTAAGTCTTTCGAAATCCGTTTCCGATTTCGATTTGAATCTAGTCAACGTTTTTTATAATAGGTATTTAAATTTTACCGCCAATGGTTCGAAACGTTGGCAGAATTTGACACTGAGGCTTGACACTTCCGAAGTAAGGGGTCACATTTTTAAAACTAGGGTCAAGATGAGTTGGCCTAGTCTTATAGTCGAACAAAATTTGGAAAATAAGTCGATTTTTACGTTCCCTCTGACCCAAATCGGGAACATTTCGTATAGAAACATAACTATACGAAATCCGGCAAGTTACAACCTTGTAATCCAGTTGGTTATGGACAAGACATACCCCGATATTCGGTTATTAACCGAAGGACTCCCCTCGAATTTTATCCCAAACGGATATAATGAGAACAAAGTTAAACACGGATTTTTCTTTCACGAAAGTTCGAAAAAACATTATTACGACTTGAGCGACAGTCTAAACTTAAAAATACACGAGGAATCAATTCCGATTTTGTTAAATCCGGGCGAGAATTTCACATTCACAGTCGGTTTTAAAAGCGAAGATACTGAACCCAACGCGGCTCTCATCTTTATTCGAAACAATTTGACAATCCTCGAAGTTGTCAAATTGCTGGGACAGGGGGCGCACCCACAATTCAAATTCGGTAATCGCAAACCCGGTTCAGTTCAACCGCTTTCGTTTGAACTTACCGAAAAACATTTGAAAGATTGCGAAAAAGAGAAACAGTACAGAAATCCATCACCGAATTTGAGCGTGAAAAGGTCATTCACCGCGCGAAATATCGGCGATGTAACCATTTATATAAATGCGTTTTTTATAAACGATTTGCCTTGTGAGGGTTACGGTTTTAAGATACTTAATTGCGTCCCGTTTATCTTGCATCCCAATGGGACTAAAAAAATCGACATTGCTTTTACCCCGGATTTGACACTTTCGAAAGTCACCCGGATTCTAGTTTTAGACACGAGTCTCAATTTTCCAGTTAATTATACATTGCACACGACTATACCCCCGTATTATTTGGGGCTTTGTTCGAGTTTGATTATGAGGCCGAGTTGGGAGAGCTATTTGAGTTTTGTTGCGATCGGGTTTATGTTTTTGCTGTTTGTATTTATTGTTTTGTTGGCAATAATGGATGCGGAAAGGATTAAAAAACAAACGATTAGTGCCCTAATGACGCCGAATAATTTAACGGCACAGCCGGTACTAGACTTAAGGTTAGTTGGGCAACAAACCAGGGCTGAAATTCGGTCCAATAAAACCGAAGATAAGAAAATTGACCAACAAAAGAACGTCGATAAGAGTCCGAATGAGGGGAAAACAAAAGACGGGGAGAAATACACGGTACTTGTCCCCACAACCGGTAAAAGTAAGAAAAAACTGACGAAAAAATGTAGTAACGAGTTAGATAAGAATGAGAGTGACGCACAAAAGAAGTCAAACGAAGTACAAAGTAAGAAAAAGTTTGTTGAGGTAAAAAATGAGGAGAAAAGAACGAGCGTCAGTATTACAAAAGCTGAGAAAAAGCCAACTCAAGTGTGTAAAAAAGTTACCAAAAATACTATTGTACCTGTTTACGAAGAAGAAACTTCGTCCACTACGACTGACTCTAGCAGCAATAACGAAGAAAACGATAAAGAAACTGACCAAAGAAACTCAAAAGTTTGCTCAAAGACCAAGACTTCATGCACTTCCAAACCTGAGACGCCCCCAGTTGAAGAAAAACCCCATCAGAAAATCGAACGTAAAAAATCGGGCCCCAAATTGGCCCTGAAGAAAGAAACCGACAAGCCTGAAACGAAATTCAAGTCACACAAACCAAAAAAAGACCGACAACATTTGAGTAAGAAACTATCAGGAGACAAGAATTTTAAAATGGAGAAACGGGAAAGTCCTCCAGTGAGAGTGAGCCCCCCGATCACGTCTCCGATGTGGGGCGAAAACCGGGCGACTTTCAGCGATGTGGTGGCCAGGGATAGTGTTGCCAACACGCGACCCTTGTCACAAATTCAAACTAACAAACCGACGATGTACGTGGAGCCCTACAAGCAGACTTCGGCCGAGTTGGGGCCTATAGGGTCTCGCCGGATCGATTTCTGGCAAGATGAAACACTTGAAGATTCGAATAGTTATTTTTCGAATTCGTACGAGGCTAATCCGAATTTTTTTGAAGATTTTGTGGGCGGCGAGAATTGGGGGCAGAGTCCCATGATGGGGCTGTTTGAAGGAACGGAGAGCGAGCGAGGGGTGACTGATCCGTGGAGTTTGGGCACTAGTGTTTGGGATTCGTTTTATTCGTCCTTAGGGGAGAACCTGGGAGTGGGACAACAGCAACAACAGTCGGGGTACCTGTGGGGCTCGTCGCCGGTGTGGCAGCCGTGGGCCCCTACGGAGCCAAAGACGCCCACAAGGACACCACCAGGGTTCGATGCATTTGCACAAAGGAAGAGTGAGGAGGAGGTAAGAAAAAAATTATTCGTGGTAGGTTTGTGTGAATTTGGATGTTGTAGGTGGTGCCACAGCAGAGGGAGACTTACAACCCCTTTGGAACAAGTAATATTTGGACACAACAGCAAAATCCGTGGAATTACCAAGGGCAATGAATAGATCACGTGTCTAGGGTTCAGTTTTGTTTTTCGTCGGCCATTTGCACTTAACGTGGTTTTTCTTCATTTTTTGTTGAAGACTGTGCGTAATTGGATAATACTCATTTGTTGTAGGGACCCTAATACAAAATTCAACTTTTGTCAGTGATCAATACTGTAATTTATTTATTGTTCCGCAGGTCTTTTGAGTAAAATTTTGAGTAAAAAAAAAAAAATAAATGTTACAATTGAAATAATACTTTTATTATTCCATTTGAGTGTGGTTAAAGTAAAATTTATAGATTCTCACCTAAAGGAAATGTTCTGTAAACAATGCATTTTTCTTTAAAAAAATTGTTTATTTTGCAAAATAGTACAAATCAATTTGGAAAACTCTGAGAGCGATTTCCCGAAAGAAACCTCGCCTATAACGGTCCATAAAACCTTTATCATCAACAATAGTTTTCCAACCAGTTCTAACAATTTAGACAGAAAAAATTAAATAAGTTACAATTAAAAGCGAGGAAATAGGAAGTAAATGGCCCACTTATTGCTGTTTACAATTCGCATCCCTGGCCGCCTTATCGTTGTCGTCTTTATCTGAATCGCTCTCTTCAGTTGTATCCTCCAGATCATCATCATCCTCGTAATCATCATCTTCATCTTCAATTGCTTCCCCTGTATAGAACAGGACGGCCCTCGGCACAATCCTCTCCCTTATATAATGCCCAATCTCAAAATCGGTGGTGAGTAATTGACGCAACTCGTCGTCGATTTCTTCCCCTTTGGCGTTCTCGGGAAGTTCAGGCGGTGCGAAAAAATTGAAGAACGAGTCATTCTGAACGGTTTTCGTCACCGTACGGACCACGCCACGACTCTTGTGCTTCTGCTTCTTCTTCACGGTTTTCAGCGTCACATTCATTCCTTTATTCCAGTTGATGGTGCAACCTTTGCATTTGTAAATTTCTGGACCTTCGAAATTGAAAGGATCATCTTCCTCAGGCTCACATTTCATGAAATATTCTTTCGTAAGGACTGAATTCGTGAAGTAGGGGTTGGGCGAGAAGTGGAATGATAAAGTAAAACTCTAAAAAAATAATAAAACATTCAGTTTTACTAAGAATCACACCACGTTACTTACCATTGGGCTTTCTGAACAGTCAACTTTGATGTCTTGCAGGTGGCTGAGGATGGGTTCATCAGGAGGCTGTATCATCTCTGACAAAAGATTAACATTCTGGAAAATAGTCAACCAGAAATTGGGTATTCCTGTAGGGTCCGCTACGTCGTTAGTTTCGGGGTTTTTGGGTATAATCTCAGGCGTTTTTTCCTCCTCGATTTTAGCTTTATTCTTAAGTTGATTTCCCAGAGTTTCCTCTTCATCATCTGAAGGCCATTGAGATTCTTCCTCTGTGGGCTCGTAAGCCCCAGTCACGATAGTATTCCTTTTTTCGTACATCGGCACGTACAATTTATGGTATTTACACTCTAGCGCGTGCACTTCTGCGAAAAACTTGGCCTCGATGTTGGTCGTCTCCAACTGCAGCTTCTTTAGAGCCTTGATCCTCCGCTTGACGGCCGGGGGCACTTGCCCCAACTTATCGGCATTCCTCTGACTCTCCAGCGACGCCAAAACGTTGGTGAAGTCCATAAACTTGTTGGGGGTCTTCTGTTCGGCCTCCTCCTCCTCGAGCGAAGAATCCTCCAGCGACTCGTCCACTTGATCCGCTTTTGTAGTTGCCATTTTTCTATGGAAGACAACTTTACGTGAGTTTTTTCAACGCAAAAACATCGTTTTCGCCGAAAAACACGTGCAAATTCGAACGTCAAAAACGTGAGTTTTTCGGAAAAGAAAGCAAAAATTGCGTCGCAGGCAACTACGACCGGCAAAAACGGCTTGTTGGAGAAAGATCAGCCCATGGATTAACGCAATTTATTGAATGTCTTTACCTTCTGCCGGGTGTTAGATGCTGGGAACACGAAGACAAGGGACACAGGCAGCGGCAACGATGAGAAAGAGAAAATTCGACACAGCTACGTCGCTACAAAGACGACTTCCTGCAGCTGCGCAGCGTTTGAATTTGGACCGGCGAAGTTTGGCAACAGCGCGATTCTGTTCTTTGTCCATACAACCATAAAAGTCAAATTGAGAGAGAGACACCAACTCATAGATGAACTGTTGAACCAATTTTTTACAATAAACTACACTCCATTTCAGTTGATAGTAGAATTTAATAAACAGGGTTTTTAGCGGTTTTACCAAAGATCAGTTGGCTCTCGTAGTCATGTTTTTCTACCTAATTTTTTAAAGGTGGCAGTAGTGTTTTTTTTTGTCTCACATTGAAATAAAGGTTATGCACTGTGTTGGGGTTTAATAAAATTTTAGGCACATTTTAGGGCGTTCCTTATTCAAAACATTCAAGTAATAAAAAACAATTTAAGCCTAAGCTTGTTTTTGGATGAAACATCAGTGATTATGTCCGATAAAAAAGTGTCGACCAAGTTAAAAGTTAGAACACCAAACCCAAGTCCACGAATTTTGTTCAAAACGTTGATCGAACCTCTGATGTGAAAGATTTGTAAGAAGAATAGTATATTAAAGTATAAGTTGCAGCACAAATTTGAAATTTCGAAACGAGCCGCGTAGCGGCGAGTTGAGGAACAAATGAGTGCTTGAAGAACCTTCTGCAACAAGTGCTTTATACTATTTTTTCTATTTTGCCGCTTTATATCATTTTATAAATTAAAAAACGAAAATTTATTTTTTTTCTAGAGAATTTTGCGAGGGTTGGCGACATTTAGGTATGTGGAATGACTTTAGACAGCTGTACAAAATAAAAATAATTCATATTTTCACATTTGAAAATTAATTGTGAAGAAAGTCCGTCACTAAAATTAAATTACCGCGAACGACTTATTCCAGCACTCAAATGACGTCATTTGGGTGCTGGAATAGACTTATTCTAACACCGAAATAGAAAAAGGCATATTCCTGCTAGAAACATGTCCATGTGTTTGTGACAGTTATCAATTTACAAATAAAACTTTTGAATGTTGCACAAAAAGTTGTTTCTTCTTAATAAATCAAAGATCATCGTTATTGATAATAACAAACACTATTTTAGCCATATCCATAGCATAGTTTTAATTAACAAACTTGTTATGAAACATACCTTGCATTTTGTACAAGGGTAATGTGCCTCACAACTTATTGTTCCCAACTGAAACGCAGTTGCCTCAAGGAAACCCTTAGTGGTACAGTGGTTTAGTTGTTAGACTAAAAACCGTAAAACCCTCCAAATATTCCGTAGCTATTTATATACCTATATTCCGTAGCTAACTTATACTGGATGGCAAGATTGTTTTATTACGTTTTGGTAAATTTAAAACGTTTGTTAAAGATAAATAGCATTGAATAAGTTACACTGTGACTTATTCAATGCTAATAATCACTATAGACAATCACAATTTTAGTTTTGTGCTTCAGTGATTGTGATACAGCGTGTTTTGGTGTTGGGCATGTTGAAGGATTAGCATAGGTAATTCTTATTATGACGATAAAAGCCGCAGTTCATCAAATCATTTAAAAGAATACAGGTCTGTAGACAAATCTACAGGTCTGTAGATAGATCTGTAGAGCTAACTACGGACTATAGATCTGTCTACAGGCCTGTAGATTTATATCTACAGACTAGATCTACAGGTCTGTAGATGTCTTCAAAGTGGCTAATGTAGGAACAGTACACAACGTAAGGAACGAAGTATATTGTTGGTTGCATAACAATGTTTTTTTTAATATTTTTTATTAATTAAAAAAAATTTAGGAGCAAATTTTACACATTAAATTAAAATAACACAGTAGTAACATAAGATTCCTAATTATGATTGCGCTTTTATAACTTCACAATAAGACACAACTGTTTTTAGCAACTTATTAATATAATCACCGGAATTAAAGTCTTTTTGTTTTCCGGGATCAATACGTAGCTCATAAGTGGGCCCATAGTTAATAAAAAACTGCAATTTAATTATTACACCCCTAATTACAGATATATTCCAATTACCTCGCTACTATCTGGAATATCATTATCTACCTCCTCTCCTAAGATTACCGAAGATAAATAAGTCCAAAGTCTGGCTGTGTTTGCAAAATTGTAACCGCCCCCGCCGCAAAAAATCGTGGGTTTGTCGTATTTGAGTACATTTTTTACGCATTCGCCTATTGTTTCTAGGGTCAGGTTGCTTTGACCAACTTCATCACCATTGAGGGAATCAGCCCCGCACTGTACAACAAAGGTTTCCGGTTGAAAGGCTTCAACTATTTTTGGAAATGTGTTTTGGAAGACGTGAAGGTAAGTTTGGTCGCTAACCCCATCACAAAACGGAATATTTATTGAGAAGTATTGGCCTTTTGATGTGCCAACGTCGTCAAGAAGACCTGTGCCAGGATAAAAACCGGGAGCCTGTTTGTGGTAGGAAAGAGTGAGGATTTTTTTGCTCAATTCAAAAGCGTTTTGGACGCCGTCTCCTGCGAATAATGAAATTAGGAAATGTTGTATTGCTCGGACAGTGCTGTACCGTGATGAATGTCTAGGTCTAGGTATAAAATTTTGCTGAATTTTTCTGTTAGTTTTTGTATGGCTAAAACAACGTCGTTCACGTAACAAAAACCAGCTGCTGAATCTCTAGAAAAGTTGTCTTGAATTATGAAAATAGCGTGAAGAGAATAAAATACCTCTGGGCGTGATGCCAACCCCCAAACCAATTTATCACAATTTTGTAGTCAGTCCTACATAAAACTTTAGCAGCAGTTATAGAACCACCTGCTATTGTTTTAATAAAGTCGTAATTATTCTTTAGTATAGGACAGTCATAACCTAAGCCAAATTCATGTTGTTCTTCATCATAGTCTTCATAACTGTCCAAGTGATTCACTTTTTTCAAAAAGTTTATGTAACTTGAAGAATGAAAAAGTTTGAGCTCATCTTCAGTTGCGTCACGGCTTTGAACAGTTAAAACTTTGTCGCTGTATAAAATTCGATATGAATTAATTAAATCTTGCACAATAGAAGCCTAAAATGTAATCCTTTAATCACACAATTTTTTTTTTATTCTAATACTCTTTTTAACATAGTCGGAAGTCGATCGCATTCACGCCGTAAATTGTCACTATAAATATAAACCACTTTTTTAGTCTCATTCATTTTATTTAAAATTTTTACAAAAATGTAATTACAAATTTGTGGTTATGTAAGGTGAGTGGCGCGAAATTAACAATCAAATGATGAATTTCTTTGAATTTATTATGTTGGCTCTACTGCCACATAAACATCAAAGAACATGTGAACATAACCTATAAGTTCTATAACAGTTTCTTCTTTTTTTGTGCCAAATTTAGTCAGTTTGGGGCTCTAGAAGTGTAAAATTATGACTCCATTATGGTTTTTGTCACCTCTTATATTAAACGACCTCATCTTATACTTATTGGTGCCGCATTAGCCGTATTGTTGCTATTTTCACTAAATGGCATTAAATTAAGGCCTGACGAACTCGAACTAGGATTGGAACCCGATACTGAGACGGCATGGAAGCCCCCATCACAGTTAATATCCGTAAAACATGATGTTAGAGCAAAAATATTCAATCTAACTCTGAAGTACATTTTGACGCCAGCCCCATGTCTCAATTTCGAAACCCTCGCTGTGATAATAGTAACATCCCATCACAACAACGTAGAGACCCGCAGTGCCATGCGTCGAGCCATTCCCCGTGAAGAATTGACAAAATTGGGACTAAAAAGAACATTTCTCGTGGGAGAATCCCCCGACAATATTTACATGAATCAAGCAGCTTTGGTGGACGAAAACCACCGTTTTGGAGACATCATCCAAGGCAACTTCATTGAAGACTATCGAAATCTAACATTCAAGCACTTAATGGGCCTGAAATGGGTAAGCGAGAACTGCCAAAACACCCAATATGTCATAAAAATGGACGACGATATTGTTATCAATGTTGGCAGCACTGTCCAACTTTTACGAAATTTGACTCTTCCAGCAGATTCCATTGCGGGGTATGTTTTGCGAGACATGACCCCTAAACGTGATCCCTCAAACAAATGGTACGTCACATCGGAAGAATATCACTTTGCTAAATACCCGTCGTTTGTTTCCGGTTGGTTCTACATCACTAGAGTTGGTGTGGCCTCCAGGTTGGTACTCCTGTCGCATTATTTCAAGTTTTTTTGGATTGATGATGTTTACGTGACCGGCATTTTGGCAAAAAATTTGAGACTGAGATTAATTGATTTAAAGAGGTATTTTACGGTTTTTCCGGAATTTTTGCAATGCTGCATTACCGACGTAAAGAGAAATCTAGAGTGTAACATCTTAGTAGGGCCCAACGGAGGCGATAGTAATCTTTTTTTTGAATTTAATGAAGCCATGAAATTGTGCGGAAAATGTGGGAAGAGAGATAAGCCGATAAATGAGACGTGCGTGGCTGAAAGAAAAATTAATCTTGGGAGAGGAAATGTCGTCATTCAGAATTATAGTTTACACTAACAAAAATACTATAAGTATTGTTATTTATTAATTTGACCTGTGACCAGACTAATATGTGATATATTTTATAAAGTAGTGTTTAATAAATAAATAGATTTTGTTATATGTTGCGAAATTTTAAATTTCCCTCGATTTCATTTTTGTGTGGCTGGTCATCGGTTCAAAAGCGTGGCAGCCGCTCACTTGATACTTAATTGCAAAATTGCTCAAATAAAAAAAACATTTTTATTCTGGGTCATAATTGTATTCTCCAATTGCGACAAAAATCGCAAAGAAACAGATTTGAACGGTTTGTTAGTAGGTTACACCTGCGATAAAGACAGGGAAATGAATTATTACTCAAGTGGGCATTTATTTACGCAATCATTTCGAAGCGGATTTAATTTAATCTTAATTATTTGATAAAAGTATCATATCGGGTTTAAGTTTAGCGAAAGGTTAGTGGCCTTGAATCGTTTTGCATCATTTCGCTGTACTACATAAAAAAACACAAGTAACTGGGAAAAAAAGTCATTTATTAGATTAAAATACAAAAATTCTATCACATCGAATCTATAATATAAAAATAAGCCTAATGGCAAGTTTCCTTTTAAATGTTCCACCAATCTACAATCTAAAGTGACTAGTTGAGAAACTTATTTTAACCCAGAAACGAGTTAAATAACTAAAACCACGTTCTAAACGTAAAATAATACACTTTAATTTAATTAATACCAACGTCGGTGGCGAACACATTTACTCCACATTGCAAGTCTTTGGTTTTCAAATAAATAAAAATTTCATTAATTAGCGCTTATTTAATTTTATCCATAAGGTCAGATACGTCGCCGCATTCATCAAGCACCAGATCACGACAATCACAGAAATATTCGATACCAAATCAACATCGACAATATCCATTTCTTTTAAAAAGTTCGTGGGGTCGGAGTAGTGACAATAAATCGCCTCCTCGGGGCAGTACAATTCTGCACGATTCAAGCCGTAAATCGAGTAAACAATCCCTTGAAAGCCTGCCCTGTAATAGCTCACGTGGAACAACCAGCGGAAGAAAATCGGAGTATCGAAAAACCGGATACAGAAACCAAAAACGGAGAAAAGACAGGCGATTACTGGGCCGAGAAATACTGCAACTCTAATAGGGGTTGTGGCCCCGATGAAGTAGCCCCAAGATTGGGCACAGAGAGTCGAAAGAGTGCAAAACAGGATGAATAAATAGAGACGGAAGTCCACAGGTTGGGCCGTCAGCCAGTAACTGATCGCGATGTAAGTCCAAGTACAAATCACCTGGGGAATAATTATTAATTTAATTACTTATTTTTAATTAACGAGACTTACTTGAAATGGTATTTCAATTAATATCACAGAGAGTAAGTACGGGGTTAATTTGTACCACCTGTTGAAGTGTTCCCGTGTCAGTATTTTCATTTCAAGTGGGACTAAAATTAATTAATTAATTATGTTTTGAGTTTTTTTTTTGACCGAACTTACATGATATTGTGACTGACATTTTTCCAGTATACACAATTAAAAGTAATGATCCGTAGAGATAAACATAGTTTGCTAGAATTGTATTGGCCCCAAATCCCACGTCTTTGTAAAGATAGCCGAAAATCAGTCCGATGGCCACGTGAGCCAATAACCGGTTAATGAAGTAAATCTTTAAAAAAATAAGTAATTAAAATCGAATTAGAATTTTTGGGCGACTTACATAACCCCGTTTCGTCGTCAACAAATTCCGTTTGTATAATAATAAAAACTGCATTACTACAGCGGCCGGTAACGGCGACTTGTCATGTACCTTCTCTTCCGGTTTGATCTTGTCAAATAGACTGCAAGACATCGATTCTTTTTCTGTAACAAATAAGTTCGTTAAACTTTTATTTTAGTTCGATAAACCAATTGTTTTGTTCGGGAAAGTCTCTGACTAACCTTTGGTACTTTCGCCGATATTATCAAGCTGTTTAACTTTCGCCGCTTCAGCTAAGACGTTCATGTCGGTTCCGTATTCTCCAATGGCGACTTCCATCACTGAAATCATTTTAACAATCAGTAAAAACACGCTTTAATTGTTGGGGTGACCTACAGAAATCAGCGGGGTTGTGATACGGGGGACACTGCAGCCCCAAATTCGACAAATGGGGTACCAAGTCCTTCGTGCTGCCGTCATAGATGCACCGCCCCGCTGACAAGGCATACAACTTGTCAAACATTTCGAAAAGCAGGGCCGAGGGCTGGTGTATTGTACAAATTATAGTTCTTCCTTCCTGTGCCAGACGTTTCAAAAGTGAAACACATTGCGTGCACGACGAACTATCCAAACCGCTACAAAACCACATCAAAACACTCCAAGCTTAAAATTTCGCAACGCTTACGTCGTCGGTTCATCGAGATATAAAATTGGTGGATTGCTCAACAGTTCCAAAGCCACCGCTAAGCGTTTCCTTTGACCCCCGGAGAGACGCGAAGTCAAAGTGTGGTGGCTTTTTTCCAAACCTAACATTTCCAAAAGTTCCAACACCTGGAAGTCGAATTAAAAATTCGTTTCCTGGTCGACTATGAAAAAGGTCGCCAATTTAATTTACCTGCTGTTTTTTGTATTCGTTCGACACGTTATATCCTAGTTTTAGATTAGCGGCAAAGGTCATCGCTTCCTTAACTGTCAAAGCCATACGAAGTTCCTCATCCTGGGGGATGTACGCGGACAGTTTCCGGAAACGGGGACTTTTATCCCGAATCGTGTCATTCAATTTCACAATCCCGTCGCTGCCACGGGTCCTGGAAACATGGAACCACACTGTATACTAAGCAAGTTTTTTTTTAGTTCAGATTTTCTACGAAAAAAAAGTATCGAAAAAACAAATCTTTTCTCTACTAATAACAAGTAAATATCTGCACAAATTTAAATTTATGTCATTTTTAGTTTATAATTTTTCATGTGAACCGTAAAGATGATAAAAACGAATTAATTGCTTTGTACGAAGTGATTGTTGTTATTGCCATTTCGTGTAAAACGTAACATTTTTGACCAATTGTCGTGTCTTCCGGTAGCGCAAAATGAATATTTTTTTGTTGGTGAAATTGCGAGCAGCGCTCAAATTTTGCAACAGGCCTACAATTTTTATAGTAATGACATTGACATTTGGCTCACTTAATTCGGCCCTTGTTTCATTGCTTAATTGGTCACGTGACGGTGCATTGAACTTAATTCGACTTTCTCTTCTATACTTACGTGAATCCGGCCAAGATATTAAGTAGAGTCGTTTTGCCAGCCCCCGATGGTCCCATAATCACGGAGATCTCTCCGGCTTTGAACAGACCGGAAACGCCGTGAAGGATGCGTTTCGTTTCTGTAATTTAAATTAATGATATCAGATCGAAATTACGATTGGTTGCACGTTCAAGGTGACACGTGCTCTTTATAATATTTTTTATTTTGGAATTTTTCTCAGGACGTGATTCTGTTTGTTTAGATAATTCGATTGCTCATAGTCATACGAGTCTGATTCATTTAAGCAATGAGTAATTTTAGCCTTGGGGCGAGTCGATGTTCTAATTTGACTGCGAGATGCACGAGTGTTTACATTAAAAATTTGAATTTGAATTTTTAATTGGAATTTCATACAAGCAACTAGGTCATTGTCGCTAGGTTTCAAAAACTTCCATTTCAAATACAACTAGTTTTCCTTTACACTGATAACGCAATATTTGATAATAGGTGAAGAGACAAGAAAGTTTTTTATTCATTACGTCGGTATATCCTGTTTTTCGCTTGTTACATAAAATTTGATAAGAAACCATATACTCTCTGCTCTGCTGTGATTTTAATTTGATATCAAATGTCAAACCATTTTTATCATCCCAAATGTATCATGATGGCTATTATTTTTCATTTTCACTATAGTAGCAGTTTTCTAACAGTAATACAAAAAAAACTGTTTACGTAAAGAGTTTATTTAACTCGGTTGACAAACATAACTGGAATTGTCTCATAATTTCATAAATGTACAAATTTCTACACATGTTTATTATTGAAGTTGAAAGTTGAAGGTAGGTACAAGACGTGGGAAAATTATTTTTTTTTAGAAATCAAGTACTTGCATACGTGTTATCAATGCGTTTCATCGTTTAAAAGTATTTTGTTTTCCAATCTTATCGTGATAAAAATTGCACAACAATGAGTTGGCCATGACAATCCGACACGATTACTGCCATCTATTCGATTATTTTAATTTGATTGGTTGGAAATGCAAGTGTCAAATTGTCAAGGCCGGCTTGACAAAATTACAAAAGAAAATTTTCATACACTCTAACAAATGACATGTAATTTCCTTTCAAAGCCTTGCTCCAATTTGTCAGCTAATAACATTTAATGTTATGTCATTTTCGTATTTGACTTTCTATCGCATCAATTTTTCTCCAGTCTGGAGATTTTGAATGACGAAACACAAATTTTGAGAGGACAGAGACTATCGAGACAAAATTAATTTATTATTATTAATTGACACTAATCTTAGCATCTAAATGAAAGTGATTCAAGCAATTAAAAATAATAAACAAGTTGAATCTCATTATAACTGCATTTTTTATAGCAAATCATCGATTTGTAAAGGCAAAAAATAAAAGAATGTTAACACAAATAGTTTATTTTGTTGAAAATACATTATTTTTGCTCGAGTTAGATACGTCCTGATGACTACGAAACCGCTTATTTCCTGTTTATTTATTGTACAGTTGAATAATACCTAAATAAAAATAATTTGCATGTCTCTAATAATTGCGATCGAATGTAATTGTCCGTGAAATGTGTTTGTACGAATTTATTGTCTCGGCTTGGTAAATCAATACTATTCTTTACTAAAATTAGAAACTAAAAATAATTTTGCAATAAAGTGTGGAATTACATATCCGTTGCCTTATAAAAATGTAGGAGGTGATAATATGAAACCAAGAGCGGAAATAGCAGGATTTTTACTTGCAATAACGCAAAAAACGTAATATTTACCGATTCGAGTTGGTCTTTAGCTCATTTCGCAACATTCGTGTCTTATCGCCCGTTATCACATAATTTTAATTTTAAATGCACAACGTAATTAATTGCTAACTTA